TTTCATCTGTTAATGTTATTGAAACCAAATTATTTAATGAACTTCAAAATATGATTAGCAAAGTCAGAATCACAAGTGCTATGAAAAAGGCCTGCACAATTAACAAATCTGAATTGTCACAAGTGTAAATTACTGAGAACAATTGAGATAGAAACAGATATATAAAGAGAAGAATGGCAAGAAAATTATTTTTTATTTAGCAAACTTGGACCTTCATGCCTGTGAAAAAAAAAAATGGGGTGTCCTGTTGAAACCATTATTATTTTAACTACCTTCACTCCTCAGCAATTTTTGTTTTAAATAATTTTAATAATTTAATAATTAGAATAGTAATAAACCCTAAACATGAAAGTGAATTTGTACATTTTCTTTGTTCTTGAGAATTTACGAAAATAATACTTTTAGATTATTAGAATGGTTGGTAAAACTTTGGTCAAGTGCCGCTTCAAGCTTTATAAAATGGTAAACAATAAGGATTTCCTTATTGTTACTTTACATATTTTAATAATTTAGTAAATGTTTATAAATTTATGAATAAAAAAAATGTTTTTGTATTTGTTTTGCTATAAACTGGTAAATGATAATCATTTTTAATAGTTGTAATTTTATTAGTTTTTAGAATGTTGTAAGTAAACAATCTAATAAATAAATAGCGTTTAATTATTTTTGTTCTCAAGTACAAAACTAATGTACAAATTCACTTTCGTCATATGTTTAGGTTTTATTACAATCATTACTTTTAAAGATAATAAGAGGAGACACAGTAGGATAATGGATTGTAGCTCAGATTGAGGAATCAGAGAGCTGAGTTTGAATTCCAGTATTATGTGCTAATACCCTTGGGAAAAGTATGAATTCAACTCTTCTACCTTCAGATATGAGTAAATAGCAGAACAGACTGAGTTCCTTGGGTGTCTACCAGTCTAGGAAAAGGAAAACTCTGAATTCAAAACTGTATTTTAGCCCTGGCAAAGCACATACTATGCAGCTAAGAAAAGGACCATTTGCATTGACTCGATGATCCTGACTACAGTAAAAAACAATAAACATTGCCAAAGAGTGAAGATAGTTAAAAATAATAGTAGTGTCAAAGGAAAATCCATCATTTTGACACTCTTTTTTTTTGCAGGCAAGTTTACCCTTTATTTTTGTTTTCTTAGGGAAAGTTTAAAAGGATTAATTAGATAAAGGCAATTTCTAAAGAATTAGTGGATTTTATTTTTTATTACTTCAAAACATTATTATAGTGGCTGCTTCTGATTTGAAATAGACTCATCTATTTCAAAGACAAAACGTCTACTATAATAACATTTGAAGTAATAAAAATGTCAGATTAAAAATAAAATCCATTAAATCTTTAGGAATTGCTTCATTTACATTTCAGATATGAAAATGAAGAGATATGGGCTCTCAAGAAAAATAATCTGAGTGAAATGGATGAATTTTCCTAAAGATAAGGTAAAAAGAACCTTGCTTACTTTGTGGCTGAGGAGTAAAGCATGCCGGATCATGGTAGTTTCCCCTACAAAGAGAGTGACAGGTTCAATCCTTGCTGGAGGACACGTTTTCTTTGCTTAGATTTCTCAAATAAACAGGCTGATAGACATAATACACACTGTTTAATAAATAAAAATGGGAGGCGGGGCATCTATTTCAAACAAATAACATTATATAAGATTTGAAGTATTAAAATACAAAGAGTGAAATATTGATTGAATAAACTTATGTTTGCATGTGATTAATCACTGAATTTATTCTGATGAACACAAAAAATTTACTGCTTTAAAATCCTCCTCATGGGCCACACTAGGTAGTCCTGTGAACCACAGTGGTTCTCAACCGGGGTCCATGTAATATTTCCGGGGGTCCACAGGCAAAACTCAATTGTTGTGTTAATTAAAAATAGTAATAATAATTATTATTATAATTATAGTAGAATATTTTATTTGTATTAAATTAGTTTTCATTTAAAAATAAAGCTTAATCGTGTACTATTTCTTTGATAATTAAAACCTTAAAATTTATATTAGTGAAGAATAGAAAATTGTTCTTATGTCCAATAGCTATGAAGGGGTCCACCAAGATAAAAAGAAGGGGAAAGGGGTCCATGGGTAAAAAAAGGTTGAGATCCACTGTACTAAACAAATAGAATTTAATTTTTTGTCTTTGGTCTACTTGTAAGATCACACTCCTATAAACAAATTTTTCATATATATATATATATATATATATATATATATATAAAAACAATTAAAAATGCTTAAAGTCCTGAAGACAGAATAAATAAAAAATCAAACCAAAGAAACAAAGCATAAAAATCTTTCTTCTCCTACAGATTTATTTAAGTCCCAGACAACTTTGTCTCTAAAACATTACACATCAGGCCAAACTGATGTCAAAAGCAACAAAGATCATTGACATTTGAAATAATTTAAATCAGTTATCACATACATTAAACTCATGATGAATATAAGCACACACACTATCTCTGTATTGTTAAGATAAATAAACAATTGAGGATGAGAGTAGAGTAGGAAAAGATGTGACCTGGCTCTGACTAGCTTAAAACAAGTCTTTCATTGTCAGGACAGCATCAGGCAGTTTTAAGGGTTAAAATCTGTGATAGCTCTGACAAAGGTTAATAAGGTCTGTGTGTGAGAGTGTGCCATGGTGCATACTAGAATTTATGTACAGATAAGACACATGAAGGAAAAGGAGTTTTTGTGTTAAATAATAGTTTAGCAGATTATTATTTTTTTGAGAAGTGTATCTCTGCTCGGACTTCCTGGGGTTGACCTTTGAGGTCAGATACAAGACAAAATAAAGGAATTCAATTTTGATTGGCTTAACGAGTGTGGGAGTGATAAAGATATAGAAAGGAATTTCAGGGAGTTGAGTCTAAAACGTCCTACACTATAGATGTATTTCCTTTGTATCTGAAAGCGGCTTCTTAGTTGGGTGTGAGAGAGACACCACTGGCTAGTAAGAGATGGATATGTTGATATTAAGTTAAAATTCCCTGTGTTGAAGTTCTTTTCATCTGGAATCAAAACGACTAGTGATCACCGGCTGTGAATGAAGAAGGCAACATTTTTATTGAATCAACTCCATCACTCAAGACCACCCTAATCAAGGGGCTATACAACACTGTATTAATTAGTGCAGTGACCAAGAGCCCCTCAGTAACATGAGACTATGCAACATCTGTTCATAAAAAATTCAAGCAACTAATTTGAAATAAAAAGGCACTTAAAATAGTGAATTTTTTTCTTTATCATAAAATTAAAAAAAGAAAAAAAAAAAAGATTTTAGGTTTTAAAAGATGAGGACTTTATTTACACAGGACAATTACATGAATAAAAATAAATGAAAACATTAACTTTTAGACAATTTTTAGAAAATGTGTAAGTCAAGAAAAAGTTGTGCATTTTTTATTTTTAGGCAATAATTTGAAAATTCTTTGCAGAGCCAATATTTGGACTCTTCTTTGAATCTTGGAATGCTCTACCATCAGCCATCTTCATGAAAGAATGAGTCTCTGACAAAGATCGAAGAAATCACATGTAAATGGTCACCTTCCTACCTTATCAAAGAAAGAACTGTTTCTTTAGTAACTTATTTAGTTTACTTTGTACAAGTATCAAATAGTCATAATCCCAAATTATGACTAATTATTTAAAACTTGTTTTAGGATAAAGTGTTGAGAGAAAGAAATCATCCCAGTGACTAATTTTATTACTCATAAAAAGATAATCAAGCACTCCATCCCTCTTTTTTTTTTTTTTTTTTTTTTAAAAACCAAAAAAAAAAAAAAATTCCTAATTCCTGGAACCCTGTCAAAAGATCTCTGCATCACAGAAAAAAAAAAAATTATAAACTAGATTTACATTATACACTTTTAGTTGAATTGCAAATAAAACAATTTTAACCTAAATGTTAGGTTTTCAGTAATTTTTAAAAATAATGTTTAAATTCATTTCTGTCTGTTTGATATGTTAATTTAAACAACTTACAGGACCAAATAAATAAGCACAACCAAATCAAACAGTAGAGCATTTTTCTCACTATTGACTTTTTTTTTTTCTGATTTTGTCCTTTAACTCACTCAAATGTGAAATGTTGCCTTTTATGGCAAATGAGGAAAATTCCATATTCAAAGGAAATTGATTCCTGAGCAAGAACAAATATTAAAAATTAAAACAGTAGAAATTTGTATAGATTTTTATTTTGTTCCATTTACAAATCAAATGCTACTGACACTATGGGATAAGATATTAGTGAGAAAATTCACACAACCAGAATTAAAAGTCATCCACACATGCAGCACTTGTATTCATTTGCCCACTGTGACTAATTGTTTAAGTTTCTAATAAAATATAAAGAAATCAAAATTAACAAATTTTTACCTTTTATCTTATCTCATGGTTTTTTTTTTATAGTTCATACAAAACAATTCATTTAATTCTTATTTTTTGACACTCATTCCAAAATTTTTGGAATAGCCATTCATCACTGACTTTTTCTATTCACATTAAATTTTATATAATCATTATCTTTAGAGTTTTCTTTTTTTTTCTTTTTATTGAAAGGTGTGTGTGTGTGTGACAGATTTCACAATGCATCTATTTAATGTGGCTTTTCCAGAGTGGCTGAAGAGTAAGCAGGAGTGGAGGTGGGTAATGGGGTGGCCACAAAAAAAAAAAAAAAAAATTGCAGATGCTTAAAACTGAGTTTGATCCTCTAGGCGAAGAGGTGAGATGAATAAATTTTTCAATTTGGAAAGAAAGAAAAAAAAAAAAAAAAAAACACTTTCCAAGATGAATTAATGAAAGAAGGCAGTGGTAATTAATATACAAAAAAGAAACAATCAATTAATATACAAAAAAGAAACAATCAAAGATTAGATTGCATGATCACTGCTTCTAAATATACAGCGAGAAAATGACAACAATAAGGAACGAGTTACAAAAATAAAAATAATGCCTATTTAGATATCTTAATTACAGTTTTCGTTTCTTCACGGCTGTTTTAGTCCTTAAAACCATACTGTGAGCAGGTTTACGCAAAATTCTACTCTGAGCAGTCCGTGTGGTTTCCTTCTCGCCATGTTCCGTTTTGTGGCGACTGGGGGTCAGTAGATTCACAATTGGGCTGTCAGTAGTTTTTACCAAATAAACCTTTTGCCTGAAAAAGTATTAAAAAAAATATATAAAAAAATCCAACATCAGGCAGCTTTTTGTGTCTTGATAAAACATACTGAAAGTTAAATATTTCTTTAGAGGGACAGAAAATAAAAAGATGCTAAATGTTAAACAGTCCTTTTAATGAATAAGTGACAAATAATTCTGATCAGATATTGATTGATGCAAAGGAATATATACTTGCAGAAGGAAATATCAATAATTCGGGACTGAACTTCATTCTGTTTATGTAAAATGTGAAATAATCAGAGAGAGATAAATACCGATTACATCTGTTGCATGGTTTAGCTTTGAACAAATCAAGTAGAAGAGGAAATGCTATTTGAATTTTAATACAAATTATTATTTGTAGATTTGTGTATCAGATTTCAGACTTGCTTAATCAATAAATGGAGATCAGTCTGGTTACAGAATTTTTGATAAAACTTGGAAAATGCATCTTCATAGAGAAAGCAGTATTATACAAATACATAATAGCAGACTTTAATGTTTACAACTATATGACACGTGCACATCTTGCCAAAGAATGCCTCTGACACACATGCCCATGCCACAGTTGAAAAGTTAAAAGGATCTATTTTCCCATAAAGTTTTGTGGGGTCTATTATTATTATTTTTGATTAACAATAAAAACCTTTTTAGTGTTGTTACAGATTGATTTATTATACAGTTTTTAAGTTACCATGATGCACAAATATGCCACACAGCATGGGAGAGAGAGAAAAGCTAATGTTGTAGATACATATTAGCAAGATAATTTATAAGTTAATAAATTTTATTTATTAAAACAAAGTAGCCATTATTTCTGGTAGTCATTTTGACAAACATATTAATGGCATTATGTAAAGGTTCAAATATCGCAGAGGGCACTGAATAGTAACCTAGCATTTCAGTATATAGCTTGATTTTCATCTTCAGGGTACCCAAGTCCTGGCTTAATTCACTAATCTAATTTGTTTGTTTTTAAAAACAGTATCTTGATCTTTGCAGGTCATTTTTTTTTTTTAAACCAAATGTGGGTTTGCTTTGTGTCTGGATTTCAGATGGTAGCCATTCAGAATTTTTAGTCTTGTAGTGCTCAAAGTAATTACAATTTCAGCCAATCCACTCATTCTTCAAAAAGGAAAAAGTGGCAAGTGGAATACTCTAAGGTTTAAATAATACTTAGTTCTCTGAAATCTTGAATTATGAGGCAGATACTGAAAAATTCTCAGTCCTACCCACTTCCCAAAATTTGACGAAATGACCAAATATCAAACTTTTTTTTTTTTTTTTTTAATCTCTTCTTGGTCAAGTTGAGACATTTTTCAGAATCCTGTCCCTTGTGATAAAAAAAAAGGCCAATGCAGCTGGAAAAACTGGTTATTTTGATTTTTTTTGACATTACAAGAAAGGTGACTTTTAATCACTTTAATAATCCATATTAATTTTCTTTATCACAAACAGATTTTTTTTAAATCCTTAAAATTTTAAAGTAGTTTGTCACTAAGTCAGATTTTATCATGTCAGTTAATGATTTTATGATAAAAATTGGTATGAACTAGTGTTGCTGAAATTTTCAAAATATACTCATAACTTAAGGGTTGTTCCATCATATTGAATATATATATATATATATATATATATATAGTTGGATGAGAGGTACCCAGCCTCTCATCAAGCTATCCAGTTAATGGAAATAATCCACTAATATGACTCAGAGGAAAATAGAATGGCAGTAGAGTGATTTTTTGGACTCATTATAGGCTGTAAAATTATAGGTCCATTCAAAATTGATTATAATGTCAATATAAATGCAGAGAATTATTGTAATTTCTTGGACAAGACATTTTTTTTTTATTCATACAGATTAAAATCAAAAAGCTTTAAGTTAAAACATCTACTCATGTAAGACAATGCTCTTTCATATTCTACAAAGCTGGCTATTGTCTATTGGGGGGGGTTCAAAAACACTAAATTAATAGAATGACCCATAGCCTCCTCATATTTTGACCTATCATTAAAAGAGATGTATATGAGAAAGAAAAACAATATTCAAGTAAAGAAAATATCTGGGAAGCAACAAAAATTGCCCATGTTAACATTGAAAACATAAGAAAACTCAACAAAATCAATGGTTGAAAAAGTTATAAAAAGTCATATAATGTCAAGCAGCCCAAAATGAATAAGCTTTTTTTTTTTAGGTATATGGGAAATTAATTGTGTGTTATCAAATGTTTCTACAGCTTAGATAGCTTAGATATTTTGTATTTATAAACAGAATTTTATTGAACTTTATTTGAAAAACCTGGTTAATATTTAAAATTCATTTGTAATTATCTCAGGTTTGAAGTGAGTAGAAATGAGGTCACAGACTACATCTCAGAAAATCTTATTAAAATTGCATTGATTTATGCAAGATCTGCAAGATTTTTTAAGTGAAAAACAAGACAGACACAAGCTGTGGCAAAAAAGATCCATAAAAAAAGCTATCAAGCTTGTGGGAAATTTTTAATGAAAGTAAATCAATGATTGAAATACCTTGTTGACCTAGTTTTTACAGGTGCCACATATGTCTTTGAAGATGAACTGGCTGCAGGTATTAAAGACTCTTCCATTGGTATGTCGATAGACATTTCCTCTTGTTCTTGTGGAACAAATGGCTCCTTCTTTAAGGTTGAGCGCTGCGAGCGAGTTGAAGAGAAAATAATAGAAGAATCAGTTTTCAGATTCTTCTTGGCTGGTTGTTTCTTTTGCGTTTTCTTTCGAGTTATAGGTGGAGAGAACACGAATGGTTTCTGCTGATTTGAAGGCGTTTCAAAAACTGAAAAATAAACAAGGCATTGAAAACACACACATTATATATATATATATATATGCGCACACACACACACACATACATACACTGGCATTATTAAATAAATGCTACACAAATTAGGTTACATTTCACAAAATAAAATATACAAATAAAATACTTTGAAAGTATTTTTTAATACATAAGCAAAGAAAAGAAAAACAAGATTTTGTACTGACAGTTTTTTTTTTTAAACAGAGTAGACAATGCATTCAGAATGTAACACATGACTAATCAATAAATTGTATTTTAAACAAAATCTTATATTTCTAAAAACATTTCTAACAATATGAGACCAGCTTAAAACAAAATTCCCAATGTATGATGTGTTGATAAATATCAAAGAGCATTCAGATAAATGTTGAACACAATTTATTCTATTTCTGATTGATTGTTTTATTTAATGTACAAAAAAAAAAAAAAAAAAAAAAAACAAACCAGGTACCAGTTATATTTTGAAAAAAAAAAAAGAGAATGCTACAATTTGTTTTTTTATTCTGCTTCAAATAAATTTAAGCCATTTAAGTGGGTTTGGTCTTGGAAAGCATCGGATAGTGACATTTATATTGCTTATCTGTTGCACTTCTCTCATTAAGTTTTATTGAATTTTATGAAGAATACAGCAATTTTTAAAGAGCAACTCTAATTTTCATTTGAAAAGAACCAAGAAAATGGCTAAACTGAATGAAACAATGATGAAAAGTAGAAATAGCAATGGTTTTGAAATTAATTACATTTTAAAAATGTAATTAAGAGATATCACATTAGATTTTATTACATTTCAAATGTTAATTTTATTAAGACAAACAAAATCTTCACTTTAAGAACATCAAAGGATTAATTGCAAGCAGAGGTTACAAAGAAATATAATCCAAAATTAAATGTCATATGTGAATGACTCGGCAGAAAAAATAATTAATCTCAAAATAATTAGGGCGGAATGAGATAAATCAGTTAATTAAGGAAAAGATATTAGGAATATTAAGAATACAGAAATTTAGGAATGGAATTGAAAAAAAAGAAAAGAAAAAAGTATGTCCATTTCTAACTACAAGCATGTTTCTTAAGGTGTTACTAAATTACAGAACAAAGGAAAAAGCATGCTTACCCCCCCACCTCCAATTTTATACAATCTTAATTTCTGAAGCATTGTCTATGTATTGATGAATAACAATATTTTGTTGACTAACATTATCTTCTCTGTGGAATGTATCAACCAAAATGCGCTAATTTATGTTTTAGCTGACAGACTTCAGCCTTCCCCAGGCAAATGTTGCATCTTTTTTTGTTTTATTTCTCTATAAGAATTTTAGAAGTTAACACAATATGAATTGTATATACTTTTTATAATAATTCAATATATAACTTTGTTACAATTTCAACCATGTACCTGAAGGAAGTAAATTCTCTATTTTATTTTTATGAAAAAATAAAGATTTGTTATTAATCTCATAGTTAAAAATTGAAAATACATGTATCAGTTATTAAAATACTTTTATCTATTTTTTTTTTTAATTTTCTAGTCTAATTTTTTTAGTGGAAAAAAAAATTATTAGAAAGAGACAAAAATACTTATTGAAAATATGTATTTTCTCAAAAGATGATATCAAGTGAGTTTGATCCAGACTATGAAATTATACATTTATTTTATCAACTGTAAAATAATGTTCAAAGCAAGTTTTTTTTGTTTTTTCTTTCTTTTTTTTAATAACTTCAGATCTCAAGTCTTGTGTTTCTAACCACATTGGGGTTAAGAGAATTGGTCAATAGCATTCAGGTCTAAGTTTGAAGCAAAATATGTATACACACAACATCTTAAAAGTATCTTCATTAATATGTAAATTATTAAAGTGTAAACAGAAAATTAATTATCAAAAGTACAAAGTTCTAGGCAGCATATTTTTTTAATAACTTGATGTTGGAGGCAGGAGTGGTGGGGGAGGAGGCTTTTGAATGATAGTCAACCTTTAATAATGATCAATAATTTTGTATTTAACATTTTTTTTATTGTTAGAAAAGGAAAAATCCTTCATAATAACAATAAATATTTTGAGCAGATAGTTTAGGTGCTCATTAACCATAGCAGCATCTTCATCATGTGACATTCTTTTCTTTCACAGGCGTTTTAAATCATTTTAGAAATAGAATTTTATCAGTGATGAAAACCAAAACAAATGAAGCTGATATAAAATCTTTGTTGTATTTTACTATTATTACATAAATGGACACTGACAAATGTAATAGAGATTAATTTATCAATTAGCTTTAAAATATTTTCATATAATAATATTGATCAAAAAGATTTGATTACTAAAACACTTGAAAAATAAATTATAACTCACCTCATTGCAATATTTTACAAAGATTGTGTGGTTTTTCTATTGAGACTTACATGATTAATATTAAAAAAAAAAGTTAATTATTTAACTTAATGTGAATTAAGATTATTTTTCTTTTGGCTTAAAGTAAGGAATGACATGAAAGAGGATTCTTTCCATTTAAATAGTTTGACTATCATGTAATAACAAAATAATTTCATGTCTGCTTCTTGGAATTTAATAATGTCAATTGTAGAAGTTTTGGTTTTGCAACTTTAGACTTTTATTCTGAGGGAGATGAGGGATTCACAGAACAAGGAACAGAAAACAAATTGAATAATAAAAAATGATGATGGCAACAAAAACTGCATTGTCATAATTATCTTGAATGAATTTTTGCTATATAATGTTCACTATAACTGGTGTATAGTGAAATTTTAATTTTATATCCAAAATTTGATTTTCTAGTCAAGAATTATTTCAGCATTTGGATGAAACTCAAAATATGATAAGCCATTTCATTTTGAACATTCCACCAGCAAATTTGTATTATCATAAATACAGTAAAGAACTTGAAAGTGATCCTACTAAAAATTATTTAACAACATTGTAATACAAAAGATTCAAAATACTCTTTCCCAAAAACCAGAAACTGTACAACTGGCCTATTTTTTGTTAAACATGATTGCAGTATTTAAGGACACAATGAAAACATGAATGTCAATTCCAAATACATTATTCATTAAAATAGATAATCACATACTATTAACATCTGACTTAATATGCAAAGCAGGTGAAGATTCATTATTTAAATCACTTTCATCTGTAAGAAACCAAAAACATATGTCACCAATTAAAAAAAAATAAAATAAAATAAAAGGTTATACACTCAAATTCTTTTGATTAAAATAAACTGGACTTTATTTTGGCAGGATTGTCAAAGAAATTCACATCAGAAGAAAGTAGACAAATAATAGATTTAGTTAAAAATGACAATTGTTTTCTATTTTTTTAAAATTTTCTCTATGCAGCTATAAAAAGATTATCTTGAGTTTATTTTAGCTTAAAAGTATTAGAAGCCAGAACTATGTGAAATGTTACTTGGACGTCAAATACTTGTTTCCATGAATTAATGAAAAATAATATTATGAATGAACAGAAACTTTGTGGGACAGGATACATAATATTAATATCTGCACATAAACAAACCCGGGTTTTTTTTTCTTCTTCATGAAAATAAAGTAATTATATAAAGTCTGAGTAAGAATAGCAATATTTTATGAACATTTCTGAAACAAACTTTAGGGTATAGGAATTTTCTGAATTGTTTTGGTTTTGAAATGAGAGCAAAAGATAATGTGAAGCAAGAAAAAGTTTTGTGGCTGTAAGCTTGTTTAGCATAACTGCAGACAGTAATGATACCATGGTACGACATGTAGTGTTACCAAGGCACAACAACATGTGTAAAAGTCAATATTGATATGGGAATAGGTTCAACAAATTTCACATGCTCACAGTCCAGGAGTGCCTGAATGTACAGGCAATTGAGTAGCACAGTACAGTGTTAACACCTATCACCTGATCAACTAAAAGTGCTGGGTATCTACAACTTTTTAAAACTTTGGAGCTGAAAGGGTTTAAAGAGAATTTATCGAAAAAAAAAAAAGTTTTAGCTTATTTTCAAAAACTAATTCTTTACATAATCCATTCTAGTAGACAAAGTGAATGTCAATCCATTTAAGCAATTTTTTTAACATTTCTTTCTACTTCATCATATTGCAAATTTTATGTGAAGAACAAAAGATAAAAAGTAGTAAAAATATTTCTCCCCAAACATGACCAATTATTTTGAATAGAAAAATATAACCAACACTTATAAGATTTGGTCAAGGGACTAGCATCACAACTGAGTCACAGACTGTGCAAAGCCATCTGATGGCTTTAAAGTGAAAAAATAAATGAAATAAAACTAAAAAAAATACCTGATTCTGTATTTGCAGTTAATTGACTTTGTGACTGCAAGGCAGCAGCTTTTCGAGTAGTCCTTCGAGTTGTACGTACTTGTGGCTCAAATTCAGGCACTGTCTCTTCCATTTCAACTTTACTTTCATCTTGGTTTTTGATTTTTATATTTACAAGAAGTGGAGATGAGCTTTTTTTCTCATCAGACACCTTAGACAATTGCTCTCCCCGAGTTGGTGTAGAAGTACGTGCTGGTAGAACACGGAGGGTGGATGTCCGAGAAGGACCAATATCGCGGGGCGGTGTTGACGGGCGAGAGGTAGCAACCTCGCGGGGTGGTGTGGACGTCCGAGAAGCGCCAACCTCGCGAAGCGGTGTGGATGTCTGAGGGGCACCAAGTTTGTGGGGGGGTGTGGATGCTTGAGGGGAATCAACTTCACTAAGTGGTGTGGTTTGTGTAGGGGTTGCTCCATGCAGTGATGTTTCAGTTTTGAGCCTACTGGATCTTCTAGTGAGAGTAACACTTCTAGATGATCTCAATGATCGTGTTTTAATTGAGCTGTAATCATCCTCCACTTCCTCCTCCTCCTCCAGTTTTGATATTTCACTTGAAATTGCTTCATTTTTAGCTGAAACTTTAGCCTTCGTGCGGCTGGGTGAAACTAATTCGGTCATTGTTTGCTCTTCCTCCTGCCAGTTTTTCACAGAAGAGTCATTTCTTTGATTAGATGCTTCTTCCAATAAATCTTTTTTTATAGATTCTAGTTTAGATTTTAAAGATTTCTGAGAAGCTTTTTTGCGTGTAGACCTGCTTTCTGAAGATTTTGGAGAAGCAAATTTAGATGAGTGAGTTGAAAAGGTTTGGGAAACAACCTGAAATATAAAGAATAGAAAGGATGAGTCTAGAATTCTCAAACTGGGGTGCATGTAGCCCCAGGAGTATGCAAGAGAAATTAAAGTGCAGGAATCTTGTATTCTTGACATTTTACCCCTTTTTATGATTAGAAGCTCAGGAACCTTCAAGGCCTTTTTCCCCGAAAAGAAAAAAGATTTGTTTCTGTATTCCCACTTTGGTTAACATCTCATTTAGAATCCTTTTAAATTTAATCGCAGATCTCTTTCAAACAATTTACAAAATGAATTTTTAGAATGTTTCACTGGATAAAAATCTTTTTGAAATCTCTCCCCTACCAAAGATTCAGTGTTCCATGGTGAAATAATACCCATTGTGGCTATTTCTATCCACTTACTATAGTAAACATGTTCAGCAATGTGTAAGATTAAAACCAAAATATGTACAAGACTGTCAGTTAAAAATGGTGTGTGTCTTTCACTGATCGATTGATTGATTTTTTTTTTTGATTTTTTTTACAGCTTATCAGCTTGTGAGTTATTTTGGATTGTAAGAATAATTCTTTTTTACCAAGTGAATATTGCATTATCAATTTTTTGAGAATAACAATGATCTTTCCAGATATATGCCTACTATTTAACCCATAGGCGAGAAGAGATGGATTCATAGGGTATTTGTGTGTAAGTGAATGTAATGAACCTGACTGGAATTTGAACTTGGCTCTCCAATTTCTTATTCTGAATCACTATCCATTACACCACCAGCAAATTCATGTCTTGCTGAAATGGATTCCATAATTGATTTATATTGAATTTGTTATTTGAAAGAGCCAAGCACATCCATCTCATTAAATGTGTAAACGTATATTGAATAAAAAGTTAAACAAGTACTTTTTGTAGTCCATTATGCATTGTGCTGGTAGCCATACATTTTATACCACATATAATTCTAAATGGGTTTGCCAATATAATCAAAGTAGGACAAAAAGATACGTGGGAGGAAAAATCTAAATTAAATGGTCAACTGATTACTATATATACTCTAGTATAGTGTGAGTTTTCATGAGCAGTTGTTTTGTTTTTTTTTTTTTCCACAAAAGAAATAAGGGCTGGAACACTATGAACAGGTAATTTTTTTTGAAGAAGAAGTTAAAAATCATGCATTTTTGGTGACTGGATGCATTATATACAAGTAAATTTTTTCTGGAGGGGTTAAAATTCATACAAAAAATTCAGGGGTTGCACTATACATGAAGTCAGCTTATACACAGGTATATACAGTAATGAAAACAAAGTATTCATTGAATAAGTGCTACTGGCATGTCCCAAACCAAAAAAGGCCTGGCTTTAAATGGTAAATTCTTTACAAATGAGTTTACTACTTTTTGTCATTGTGTATGTTAAAAAAAAAATAAACTTAAGTAAATCTTTCATTGATAAAATGTGACTGATTAATTTTGCTAGATAGAACTTAAAATTAAATAAATTTTGTTTTTCCTTCTTAGTATTACTATATTTTTATGGGTTTTCTATTTTCATTAAACTTTTATTTTTACAAAATCTGTTATATTAAAACACAATTGAAAATAAAAATCATAATAAAATTTTCTTTAAAACGAAAGAACAATGTTATTTTGCAAGGAAAACTGATTATTATTATTAATATAAAAACACAAGATAGATTGAATGGTTTAAAGATTACTGAGAAACAAGAAGACTGATATCCAGAAATCCTTAGTGGATAGCAACAAGTGATTATAATTGGTTAAAACTTCAATGACTAAGACAAATTAAGAGTCAGTAGCTTATCACAGAGTAAGTTATTATTCTTGAAGTGCACTTCTTAGTAAGCATAAATAGCACATTACTCTCTAAATTGCCTAGAAATGAAAACCTTTTGCTTATTCAATATACTCCTATATAAGTTGTGTGATGTCTATATTCTTTTTATGATTTATTGCTTAGTGAATTTAAAAAAAGAAAAAGAAATGATTATAGTGTTAAATGAATTTATGAAAATTTACCTGTAATTTTTTACCCTTGAACAGTAAAAGTTTTTATAACTGCAATTTTAACTTCAGGTCTCACATCTTTTGCCTGAGATTTTATCAGTGTCCTTTTCAAAATGTCTTTTCTTTACATAAAGTTGAAATACCAAGAATCAAAACATACTTTTATCCTGTATTTTAATTTCACTAACAATTAAGAAAACATCTTTCTCAAAGCACATTACACATCAATTGATATATTCTGTGTTTTGAATTATTTTGTAAATATGTATTGGGTCCTTTTGAAATTTTAAGAGAAATGATACTAAAAAACATGACATTACTGGAGTGGATTCTTATTTAAAGCTATAAATAAAATTGTAAAACTATCATGATAAAAACAAGTGTTGCAACTGTTCTAAAATAAGCATTTCTTTTGATTCTCTTGAATATCATGACAATGGAAAATTCAATAAAGCTATTATATTTCTACTATATTTTACAAATATCAAATTGTGCTTACCTCATCACTAGCTGATTCCAAGACACTGCCAGCAGCCATGTCTACGGGCATTGATATTGATTCAGAAACTGACTCTGTCGTGGCTGGAACAAGTGCAGTCTCAGAGCGGTTGGACTCCTGAAACAAATGCACTACATGTTAACCCAAATACAGAAATAAATAAAAGGAAATTGTGACATTGAAAATAAAAGATAAGTGTTAAAAATTTACTATAAGCTATTCTTAAACTAATTTATCCACAATAAATGTTTTGTCAAAGGGAGAAAATAAATTTATAAATCAATATTCTACCAATATTTTTTATATAGGAAAAAAAGGAATAAATATTTATGACATATCACTTTAAAAGTTACCATATATACTCATGTATCATGCAACTTTTGAAGACCTAATTTTGAAGCAAATTTTAAGGGGCCGCATCATACACGAGATTTAAAATTAGAAGATCATGCATTACATGGGTATATACAGTATATCATAAATTTGAAATCTAAACAAAAAGTCAGTAAGAAATGCATATAATTTTGCCAACTCATTATTAACAAAACACATGAATGTTTAGAATCTGAATTTTGCACATAGGATCTATTTTCTATCTATTATGCCACACAGAAAATAGATCCTATGTGCAAAGTTCAGATTCCAATGCAGATGGATCAACAGTTTGGGCTAACTGTTAATCCATCTGCACCCCCATCAAAAAATGGAAAGGGATGCTGAAAAGTTCCTGAGATAGGAAGTTATACTATCCACCTGTAACTTTCAAACAATTGTGTTTTACTTTAATTAAATTTATTGAATTGAAAGCACAATCATTGATTTTTTTTTTTTTTTTTTGCCATACACAATTTAGCTGGAAAATAATCTGATGGCGTGATTCATTTTCTACAGCTTATCAACCCTTTGCAGATTATTTAAAACCAGAAAATATTTTTAGATTACAAGAATCACTTTTTTTGAAATAATAATGGTTTAGTGATACAATTCTTACTAACTAACCCATAGCTAAGGGAAATAGGTGGATTCATACATTTTTCAAGGGTATATGCATGTAAGTGAATATAACGAACCAAACAAGAATTGGAACTCAGCTCTCCAAATAACAATTTCATGCCATTATCCATTAAACCACCTGCACTTCAAGCTAACAGTGTCCGGTATTCCCATGTGGTAAGCCATTTAGGTACTGACGAGGCTTTTTAATATGATGTTGCTGTAAGCTTAATCTGATAGCTGAATAAGGCTGCTATGAATTTATATAAATAATTTTTTTTTTTTTTAAACTTTTGCATTAATCTAACAATTCTAGAAATGCTTTAAGCATTTTATTCAATTCTGTTAATTAGAACAATACAAATTATGGCTTTAAAAAATAGACATTTCAAAAAGTATATATTAGCATATAATAAATACAAATATATTAAAACAGGGAGAGGGGTGGGTAAAGTAAATTACTCTTGCCATAAAATGGGAAATCAAGTTAAAGAAAAAAAAAAGAAGCTAACTGGTTATTGTTCTTTGGTCTTCAAAGCACAATTGATGATGACAAAACAAATTTTTGCACAAATTTACATTTGCAATTTGGCTTTGAAAAGTAAGGAATGATAATCAGTTAGCTTCATTTTTTCTTTTAATAACTTTTCAATTTACCACTTTACAATAAATAATCCCTCTTATACTTCCTCCCTGTTGTATTATATGTTAATATATACTTTTCAAAATGTCCAAGAATTGATGCAGCTAATGTTTTTTCAGGCTCCAATAACTCTTGTATAGAAATTTAGTCAGATAATCCCGAACACTTACCATTGATTCTGCTTTAACCTTTGACCTCAGTGATCTTCTTGTATAAACTAGAGAAGGGGAAGATATGGACTGTGGAGAGGCAGAGCGTGATGAGTTTCTTGCAGTGGTACTGTGAGATGGAGGAGCTGATAAGTCAGCTGGTTCTGGCGTTAAATCAGTTATGGTCAATGACTTTGAAATTTTAGTCCTTCCGGCCTTCACTTTAGGAATCTTTTCCATCTCAATCATTTTTCTTTTTTCTTCACCTTCTTTCACTATTTCAATTTTGTTCTCCTCCTCTTCCACCACTGCTTCTTTTTCTTCTTCTTCCTCCTCCTCCTCCTGTTCTTTTGCTAACTCTTTCTCCTCCAATTCAACCACCCGTTCGTTAGCCTCCTCCAATTCAACCACCCGTTCGTTAGCCTCCTCCAATTCAACCACCCGTTCGTTAGCCTCCTCCAATTCAACCACCCGTTCGTTAGCCTCCTCCAATTCAACCACCTGTTCGTTAGCCTCCTCCAATTCAACCACCTGTTCTTTAGCTTCCTCTTCCTCCACTACTACAACCACTTGCTCTTCATCCTCCTCCTCTACTTCAACAATGTCCACATCTTTCTTTGTAGCACTATTTACACTTGTTGCTTCAGTCAACTCTTGTGAAATATGCTGGCCAATTGGCAATACTACAGCAGTAATAATCTGAATGTCATCTCTCTCACTTTCTATCACTTCAACAGCAATCTCATCTTTCTCTTCAGGCACATCCTCTTCCATATATTGCTCAGAGAACTGATCAGTCTGAATTTCTTGTTTTTCTTCATACATCAGCCGGCTAATAGTTTCATTGCTGTTATATTCTTCAATTTTCTCTGACAATTTTGATTTCTGCAAAAGAAATCAAAATACTATATGTCTACACCGCTGAGATGAGGTATTGTAACTATTTACATTGTTCCTCATCTTGATTGCCATATTCACATTTCAGCTGTTGTATGCTCCGGCTTTCTTCAAGTGATATATGTTGGAATGTTGAGCTGAACCCTTTATTTAGTCCACGGGGGTAGATTTTTCTAATTCCATGTACCATGCCTTTGGATATCTTAATTTTAGTTAATTCACTTTTAGTAACTCGACTCTCCAAGTTTTTGTTCCTTCTGCTGTGGCTAGGGATTGGATCAATCAACCAATGCTTTTATCCATTCTTGTCTGCAAGGACACATGGCCCAGTGGATAAAAAGTGTTGGTTGATTGATTCAAAAGTGACTTGACCCAAAAAGTCGTGAGTTCAATCCCTGGCCACAGCAGAGAGAGCAAAAACTTGAAGAGTTGAGTTCTCAAGGGGAATTAACTAAAACTGAAATATCCAAAGGCATGGCAAGTGGAATTAGAACAATCTACTCCTATGGACTAAATAAAGGGTTTGAAATTTCAACAAATATCACCTGATAAATGTTGGAATGTACAATGGCCGAAATGTCGTGAATATGGTAATAAAGATGAGGATAAGTCTGAACAATGTAAATAGCATAAAGCAAGATAATATTTTAAGGCTATTTTTTTTTTTTTAACAATAAGTACTTCTAGTCTTATTTTACTAAAAAGAAAATGCAATTAAAATGGGACATTTAGCCTGTTAATATGTTAATTTATACATTAATCAGCAAATATGGACCTTTCTGCCCACAAAAAATGGACTGTAAAAGGATGTTTTTTTCTCAGGACAGCAAATTTTATTTTTAATGCCTTCACTATCCTTCTGACACAGTTTTGTTTTTTTTTTTTTTTTTTTTTTTACAGACATGAAGATCCATGTCTCCCCTTTAATCAATAATTTATGCGAATACATTATAATTTTAATAATTACAAGTTTGACAAGTGAGATTTTTATAAAAATGTTATGAAAATTTTAAAAATGTTTAACATAGTTGCTTTTAGATATTTTAATGACAAATATGGAATAAATTAATTGTGGAGACAAAAAAAAAAGCAACAATAAAAACAAAATTCACTTTTGTTAGCAATAATCAAAAAACCTCAAAGACATTGAATATGAGAAATCAATCCAGATTTCTTCCAAAGAGACATAAATTAAAAATAATTTCTACTTCTACTAAATAGAATTAAAGTTGAAATAATACCATTTGGCAATTATGTGCTGTATATTGAAAGTCAATAAGTTTTGCAACTTTTCTATTTTTAAATAACTTACTGCATTTGAAAATATTCTCAGAAAATAGTTTTCTATATAAGGGCTATGAATTGTAAATTTTTTTTCATAAAATTGTGCCTACTCTAATAAAAAGTTTAACACCAGGATGTAATGAGAATGACAATTAAAAAGTTTCTGAAAATTAATCAAAGACAAAGGGTGTCACTATTTTGAGGATTATTTTGTTATTTAATGTGACTTTCAAAATAAAAATTACTTCTCTAAAATTTATGCTTTCAGCTGGCAATAGTTAGAAACAAAAACTTCTATAAAATGTTAAAAAAACTAAAACATTTAAAGTGAGAGAGAGAAAAATAGATATTTTTATGCAGATATTCATAAGACATTTGAGCCCTCTGTTCATTGTCAAAATAAAATATTTCCTTGCAGAAGAGAAACAAGAGTAAAAAAAATAAATATGAAGAATTATTCTTAAAACAATCTAATGTAAATTTCAATTATATTTTCCATTTTTTCTTTTCAAGTTTACCTGTCTAAGCGGTGCCAGTTCAAGGATATCAGCAGACTCGAGTGGCTTGAATTCTTCCTCTTCTTCCTCCTCCTCTATTGTGAGATCAATAGGCTTGGAAGATGATGTTGAGTAATCTGGGATGACCATAGCTGAACCTTTATAAACCAACAGTTCAGGTTGTTCATCAGCCAATGTCACAGTGTTCTTTAAAATTCCAGTATCTTCTCTAGGCACATCAGGCTGCTGAAAATGCATTGACCCAAACACTTCTCGGACAGGATGTTCCATGTGGGTAACAATTGGCATCTCTTCTTCAACTACTTCCATAGCTTCTTCATCTTCCTCCTCCTCCTCTTCCTCCTCCTCTCTGCTTTCGTTTGCTTCTGTTTCTATGCTGTTGCTAATCTCATCTGAGATGTCTAGAACAAAAATAAAAACTAAGTCAACAACAAAATCCCAAACAAAATAAACTCATTGCTGGTTAAGAATCCTTTTGAACAAATTACTCTTATGGGTATTTTTTTATACCAGAATTTTAGAATTAAAATGCTTGTTCTGCATACTGCCAAAATCCAGTCATTATAGAGTACTTTATGATTTCAGTAAAAGAAATTATAGCACAGGTAAATTTTTCATTCATTTTTATGTCAGGTAAGATATATTAGTTACAACTCTTCTATAAAGATATACAATCCTCTTGGTGAACTAATTTCCTGAAAAATCATTAATTTTCATTCAGCCATAGTAGCAATTGTCAGACAAGGCAGAATTAATTAATTGTAAATTATAATTCAACTAGCCGAGCTACCCGTGATTTAAAAAGTTAAAAATAAAACTATAACAACAAATATAACTTCAAATCTATTTATTCAAACACAAAAATATGTTTAAACAGTTTTTAAACTACAATGCTTCTTGGTAGACATTATTCTTTGTCTTTCCTTGTGAAACATAAACAAATGAATTGGTTTTACTTTCCACAAGTGAACAACTAACATACAATTGCCCATGAGAGAAACAGGATTCTTCTAACTGTAGTCCAGTAACTGATAGAGTCTGACCTTGTGCTTTGTTAATAGAAATAGCAAAATCTACTCATATTGGAAACTGAAGTCTCATAAACATGAATAGAATATCCAAGCCTGATGGAATAAGGGGGAATCATAGAAATAAAGACATCTTTGTCTTTTCCATACCCAGTAAGAACTGATGCCTCAATTACATATGGCAGCAACCTCTTAACCACCAGTCTGGTGCCATTACAATGTCTTGGTGGATCCAGAATCCATAATAGCATTATAGGCAGTCCCATCTTTAGTTCCAGTCTATATTAAGGTAGTCTGGGAGTTTCTAGAGAATTCAGAATTTCCATTGGATAATTGACCACCTGTTCCGGATCTGGAATGGTATCCACTGATCTGTAGATGAGATGTTTCCAAGAGGGATTGCAACAGTCAACTGTTTTGTTCTTTGGAGTCAGTATTACCCTGTCACATAACCAATTGTAGTTTTTGTAATTATGTTGGTTGGAGGTTTTGGAAAACCTTGGCCTTAAGCTCATCAGCAGTACTGACAACATTGTAGATCAGGCTAATGGTCTTCTTGCCATTGCCGAGTCTCAAAATGTTGCAGGAATACCGAGATGACAGCTGATCTCCAAATAATTGTGCTCTTTCTAGCACTTGGGCCAATTCAGGTTTTGCTGATATCACAAATTGGATTATCAGATGAAGTCAAGTCCAATGGAAGCTTAAAAGATGAATGTGCAGTTTGGCCACCAGGCAGCACAGTTGCTGCAATACCAGATGAGGTTACTGCCAAAGCTATGTCCTTGTGCTGTCAAACTTTGGCCAAAAGCAACTTAACAAATGTCTTTCCTGTCCCTCCAGGAGCATCTAGGAAGAACATTCTACCTTTGCAGAAGCAATGTCAACAACAATGTCATAATTTCCACTTTGGTCCAGAAGCAAACTTCACTTATTTTCATCAACATAAGCGCAAAGGGAATTGATATCATCTCAACATCTCTGTGGGTAAGGCATCAGTCCCAGTCTGATGATTTTTGGGCAACCCATAGGTCAGTAACATTTTCCCTCACATAGAAACAACATAGTTTTCTATAATGATTAAGGCACCGTTGTGAATTTCATCACTGAAATCTATCCCTATACTTAGCCACTAGAGGCAGGATCACTTATTTTGCATGTTTGCAATAGGACTGCAAAGAGCAACCCAAGATTCCCAGGAAATTATGACACTGGGCATCATCTTCAAGGAAACCTTGATTCAAGCAAGCATCATACAAACCAGTCTGTTTACATTTTTAGGATCCTGGAAGGATGTCAGGTCTTGAACTTTGTGAGGAAGGAGACAAAGATAAAAGCATTCATGTTGGCTGGGATGTACTAGGCTCTCATCAAACTTAATGCCACGGTGCTCCAGTACATCTAGACCTATCAAGTGACTCACATATTCCTTTTTGCTTTTCCAGATGTATTAAGATGACACTTGAGAGTACAAAAGTGTGTGGGCAAAAGGATCATTTTGGCACAAAATCTAACTGAAGAAATTGCGACCCTGCACTTTAAAAGTGAGTGCAAAACCACCTTCTCTAATAATGTTAGCCCTGAATTAAGTCATTTGAAAAGCACAATTGTACTTCCTAATGTTTTCCAAAAAGTGTTTTGACTCTTGAGTGATGCCTGAAAGAAGAAGCTTCAAAAGTTGCAGCAGATCTTCCAATAATAGAATCTTGACTTTGCCACTTGAACAACACATTCCAGCATTTTCTCCTTCAAACTTCTTGAGTTCACATTTACCACAGACTTTAGACATGGAACCTATTGTCACTTTCTTTTCATAAGCGCAGTCATGCTCCCACATAAGAGCAGCTCTTCTCTGTTCTCTAGTTTTACCAACCTGCTGCCTTTCTTGTCTTTGTTCAGGAGTTTCAGCTGATCTGAGCAACCCTCTGGGTTTTAATTGGCTTGTAGTCTTTAATCTCTTTGCTCAGAAGTCTCTCGTACTCTGCTAGCAGCAGACCTAGCTCTATTAGCTTCTAGTCTTTTCTCATGAATCTCAACTGCCCTGCCAGTAGCCTTTGTAGCTCTAGCAGCCTGAAGTCTTGCCTGTCTTTGCTCAAGAGTCTCATCTGCTCTGTAAACAGCAGACCTAGCTCTGGCTTCCCAAAACCTTTACTGTCGTTTTTGAATCTTTTGAAGCCCTCCTAGTTCTTTTGGTTCAGTCTTTCTTCCCTTTGAACTGCCTATGTAAAGAATTTTGTAATTTTGTGCATAATTTTGGGCTGCAAATATGTCTCTGTGTTCCAGTATCCTTCATAGCTCTCCTTGGAGAACCTCTTGCATTTGCTTTCTCTTGAGTTGCTAAAAGTCTTGTTTGATGTTGTTCTATAGTGGCATTGGACTTTGGGGGTAAAATGAACAGTTGGTTTACCCAGGCCAAGAAGATTAATGATAGATGGTAATGACGAGGAATACTTTCTTGGATAGTTGAAATAAAGTTCTTCGAAATTCCAAGCACTTCATTAAGGCTGATAATATAGTCAGCAAGTAATTTGACATTGGTGAAATCTGAATGCTGGATACATGAACAGAAATGAAACTTTTCACATGACTTCAGACACTCTTCTTTTGTTTATTTAATTTTCTCCTTATTTTTTATCAAGAAGGATTTCACATATAATTGCTATTTTTTTTTTTCTTTCTTTTTCTAGGCTGCTTAACAAATAATTCCTGCAAAAACAATGTTTCCATTGGTCCAAAGAAAATTTCACACAGGCTTGTGAATTTCTTTCTGCCTTTTTCCTCAGTTCATCTAAATTTGAAAGAAGTGGGTAAAGAGAGTTATTATTATATCGTACTCTCACATTTAGTTTTTCTTATGCAAAATGCGGACTAAAAATTTTTTAACTCTCTCTTGGACAAAAACAGGGTGTGGATTTTATTGAAGTTTGGTGTTTACTGGTCTCCACTAATTTTTCTTTATAAAAAGATGTGCTCAGTCATTGTACAAACAAACAAACATACATGCATGCATACATACATACATACATACATACATACATAGGCACAATCTTTCTTATGTTGATTTTCAGTTATAAACTTCTTTTGGTTTGATTTCATGTTTACTTCATGTCAAAATCTAAACTGTTTTGTTAAGCAATAAAAATAAACCACATTGTAAAAGTGAAATAACACAAAAGACAGCAATAAGAGAAGGAGTAAATCTGAACAATAAATAAAATTGTAAAAATCTACCATCATCTTTGGTGTCAGTGACCATATATGCTCTCTCTTCAACATTATCTTCCTTAGTTCCAACTGCATCTACCTCCTCCTCCTCCTCTTCCTCCATCATCTCTGTATCCATTTCTAAGGTCTCATCATTTCCAACAGTTTCTGATATAGGGCAGCTTTCTGCTGAAATCATCTCTGACAAACTTTTTCTAAAAAAAAAAAGGAAAAACAGAAAGGCTATATAATATTTTGTATTGAAAACTATAACCACCATAGTTCATGATAGAATTCTACACATTATGTAATCAAGATACATTACTTTTAGAAAACTATTATAATAGTAAAGTTAAAATGCATGTATAATGAAAGTGGAATTAGATAATGATAATATTGGTCAATAGAATAGTATAGTACATTGGATAAGATGTGACATGTGAACAGAGTTTTGAAGATTCTTATTACAAGTGAGTGTCTAGTTGTCTCTAGAGGCTTCTACAATTAATGTCACAATTATAGCCTTTTCTTAGTTATATATTATAGTGAGAGTTTAAAAGGTAATTCAGATCAAAAAATTGTGTTAATCAAACTATGATTAGTTTTCATTTTTATCTTTCTTTGAAATGTTTTAAAGCTACAACACTTCTTGAGTTAATTGAAATTTTTATATTATGGTAAAGTTATTAAATACATTGAAATGTACATTCACTCTTATGACTATAACGAAAATTTCATTAGAAACAAAGTACTGAACTGTCACGTAATATCAGTTCTCCTATATAGCAGTGAATGCTGGACAATTTCCTTACAGGTGAAGAGACATGAGACAACAGAAATGAGGTTCTGCAAAATGATACTGAGAATACCATGGACTGAACATGTGAGCAACAACAAAGTTTTAAGGAAAATGAGATAAAAAAGGATACTTACAATCAGAAAGAGAGAGTTGAAATTTTTAGGGCACATAATGAGGAAAAAGGACTTGGAAAATCTGACGCTCACAGGACATATTGAAGGCAAAAAGAACAGAGGAAAGCACTGCTTAACCTACCTAACAAGGTTATATAAAGGTTTGCCAGAACAGGGAGTAGGAGGCATAGCAAAAAGACAAACATTATTAAAAGCTACAAAGGATAGAAAGTTGTGGAGAGCCATGATCTCCCATATCCTGAAGGGATCCCTAACATAGAAGACATAGAAAAATTCTGTTGATTGCAAAGAGAACAGAAGGAATAATCATAGATGTGTTTTAACACTAACTGCATTTCAACCGTGTGTAAATAGGCAAGGTTTGGTCTTTTCATATTGCTGGCAGTAATGTTATTCCAGCACTTTCTCATTTAGCTTTTATCATTTGCACATGAAAAAAAAAATCAAATATGAAAAGAAAATTTAATGATTAACCTTTAGCAATTTTGTACATGAAACTGTTCACAAAGCAAAGAAGTTTGTCTTGACATTGGATCAAGTGGAAGGGGAAGTAATACAAGTGAGTCATGCAAAGTGCTAAAGGCTTAAACATCAAATTTTCAGATTTATTAATAAGTAGCAGTAGAGCCCGCCGTTGCCCAGGGATGTAACAGTAAGAGATAGATCAAGTATCGACCATCATAAAGACTGAAAAATAAAATTGACAAAGATTATTGTTTAAGGTTGACGGACACACATGTCTTAATTAGTTTTTTTTTTTTGTTTTGTTTGTTTTTTTTTTTACAAATTGGTCAAACTCAAACAAAAACATTGTTTTCAATTGTTATGAGTCTACCGATTGAATAGAATTTTATTATAAACAATTGTCTTGTAAATGGAATTTTTAAAGCATTCTGAATGTAAAAATAAAGAAAAAAGTGTGCAAGACAATAAGAAACACTACCTGCCAAAAAAAAGGTGAAGTTTTGTTGAAATCGGTTGAAAAATGTAGGAAATCCGATCCCATATATAAATGAACACACACAAACAACCTGGGTTTTATAATAAGTATAACTCGATATGAATTGTCCCCCTTTCATTCTCGACAGAGATGCCTCTTAATCGTGTTTTCAAATTGATTTTGTACAAAAACAATTGTGTTTTTTCCAATTTTTGGTGCTGTCAGAACCACCGCAAGGTAATTTTATGTGGTCCTGTGAGGGTTTTGTTGAAAAATGTAGGAAATCTGATGCAATATATAAACGTACACACACACACACACACACACACAACCTGGGTTTTTATAATAAGTATGATGTTTCAGTACTAAATCTTTTGTTGTACATTGAAACTAAGGACAAAATGGTTTGGTTTGTTTTACATTACAACCTTTTCCAGTTTACTTAATGACAAATGTATCATTTTGGTAAACATTGTACACACGGGGCCCAAGTTAGCACGATAGTTAAAAGTACATAAAATATACAGTATACAGGTGGCCCCATTTGGGAGAGGTAGCTAATTGCACAGAGATGCAATTAGTGTATTCTTGACGCCAATCAACAGGATAAAAAGACAAGGATTGTCACTTGTCAGGAATTAAGATAAGTGTTAGTGACAAAATTGGGAATATATATATATATAAAGTTATTTTTTTTACCAAGAGTATTATCATTTCAGTTATTGCTGAACAAACAAAATTATTAAACAAAATTTATTTTTTCAACAATGTGGAGTTAATTTTTTTTATTTTTAATATACAATCACATCTTACGATGCATTTATGTGAAAAAACTAACTACTCTTCTACTGACTACTACTAGATGTACTCTTTGTCAGTTGAGTATACAGTTGTATAAATGCTTATAATTATAGTTTCAGTAAAGTTATTCATTTACAAATTAGATGTACAGAACTAATTAAGCAGTTAAATTAATTAAAAAAAAAAATAATACTATTATAGATTCTGTCCCCCAAACATTTATTTCAGCATCATGGTTAAGGGTTAAGTTTTTAACATGATATTTATAAATTATGCAATTTATGATTTATTCTTATTTTTTTAATTTTCACAAACTTTTATCTCCACATGAATCTTGTTAAGACAAACATTTGTTTATGTTTTTACATTCCTCTCTTTTTGTTTCCATTATTTTCAACTATTACTTATTGTACTATTACTTTAACTTCTTATACTATTATTTGTCTTTGGTCTTAAACCCAACTATATTGAGTTTTAAATTTTATAAAAAAAATCTATTGTTTCTTTGCAATTTCTGTATTGATCACATTTCAAGTTGCCCACTTTAATAGTTTAACATTGAACTGTACAACTTATGAAACAACACAAAACTTAAACACATACATGAAAACTTTTTTTTGTTTTTTTCTTTTTTTTTGTAATGGAGCATAAACAGGTTAAATTATTTCCAACAGTAGAGAAAATACACCTGAAAGAAAATAAGTTTCAATACCTTTAACTATTTAAGTATAGCATACCTTTCAGTTAAGCTGGCTCTGGCTGTCACACTGGGAAATGCATGCGAGCTGCTGGGTGTTGGAGAATCTTGCACTGAGACTGGGGAAGAATTCAGAGCTGGTTCAGCAAATCGAAGAAGTTTGGTCTTTTTTGCAGAAGCACCAAATGGTTGCCCAACAGAATCATTTAAACTAAGATTCAGTTTTGCTAAACGAAGTGCAGACCGTGTATCAGGAACATCTGATAAAAATAATATCACGGTTACAGGAGGGAAGATCAAATAACTGATTTATAAATGGCAACTGAGTAACAAAATCTTTTGAATTTTATAAAATAAATGCATCATAAATGAATCTATTCTATCAACATATATTGCATTTTTATACATTTATCCATAAAATACCTCAATATACCCAGTTTATTCATAGTGTTTGTAAAAGCAAAGTTATTTCCATAGAAAACAATTTCTATTTAGAAATACATTAAGACTATTACTTCCTTTTAATTAAATTTTTCATGTTAATATAGAAGATGCCTCGCTGAACTCATCTGTTCAGGAATTCAAATTTTACCTAATTTTTTTATTTTTTTTTATGATAAACCCACTAACAAGGGTTAGTAAGTGAAATAAATTGAGAAAATATTATTAAGGAGAAAGGAACAAGAAAAGAATAGGATTTGAAAAGGCAGATGAAAATGACTGATATTCCATTTAAATTTTTGAAGATTGTAGTTGACAGAAAAGCAAGAAGCCAGAAGAGATTTCCACAGGTGAGAAGTGCGAGAAAAGAAACTATTAGAATAGAACTAATAGTTACATCTAACAATTTCAACAGTAAAATTATGAGACCTAGCTGTTAATCTTGTACTGTGTTTAAATTTGTGAAGACAAAGTACTTAGAGGAAAGGACATCAGAACAACTGCCATAGAAAAGACACAGAGAAGCTACATTATAGTACTGAGAGAGTGATTGAAGCTGAGATACCAGGTCAGGATTGATAAAATTGCAGATTCTTCTTTGGATTTTGTCTAGAATCTGTAGATACATAGCAGAAATATATTTTTCAAAATTTATAACAGACTAATCTGTTAATACAGTTCAGTGTTGAGAAACTCTTTTCTTCAACTAGATGCCAGCAGGAAAGAATTTCTTTTCAATTAGCATTAATAAAATTAATTGCTAAATTTATATTAGCTAGAATTTTTTGCAACACACTGACATGTGTTGAAATCCTCACAGTATTTAATATTGAAAAAGTTATTGCTAACTTTTTTGTCAAGATTTACAAACTCTATGTTTTGTTTCATTTCACAAGTCAATTGATGAAATTTAAATAAGCTGATTTGTTTGGAAAAATACTTTGACAAAAACTCTACTTCACAGTTTTTAAACACCTTAGTAAAACCAAGTGTACATTGTAACCCATTACCTGTAGGCACTTCTGCCCCAAAATTTGGTTTTGATCAGTCAATGTATGGCTATTTTAGAGGGAGTGATGCTCAGACAAACTAACAGAAGTCATATAATTTTATATATAGATTACATTATTAAAGAAGTAAAACATTTACTGTCAAAGTAAAACTAATGAACCCCATGCTTTGTAATACAAAATTAAGGAACCAAAATTACCTTTATCTTTGTCACCAATGCTGAGGGGTGATACACCATGCATATTTGGTGACTTGTTAGATATTTGTCGCACCTTCAATATTGACTGGGGAGTTGGCCGAGGACTTGTAACATGAGACCGAGGTGTGCTTTTCCTGTGTATAATTGGAGTCTGAAGAACGGATAATGCTTCAGCACTCACATATTTTGAAGACCTACCAAAAGAAAAAATAAATAAATAAATAAATAAATAAAAAAACATATATAAATGTGGGGAAGGCATGACTAATACAACTTTATAGATAACAGTATCTGTGAACAAGACTTGCCTTTTATTGCTCTCCATGCCATAAGAAAACAAACTTGCAGCCATAGGTGGTGTACTTGATGGGGATAATCTTAAACGTGGTGCCTTCTGCTCATCAAGTAAATTTCTTTCATAGACTACTTTAGATAAATCACTAGAAAATAGAAAAAAATATTTATTAAGACAAGCAAAATTAGTATATTATAAATAATTTCAAAGATAGTATTCTTATCATTTCAAAATCAGTAAGATAAACTGTTGGTAGTTGCATTGTTTTGTGGTTTTTAAAGTTAGATGGCTAAACTGTTTTAAAAATCATTAAGATAAAATATCTCAAGAAGAAGAGCAAATGGTTTTGTTACTGATTGGTTAACACTTAATTCTTCACAGAACATCAAAAAAAATTTTTTTAAATCTATATAAATTACAATTTGGCAAAATTAACAAATTAGATTCAAATTACAACATAGACATTATTAGATCATATTCTATTAACTAATCAGTTTCAGGCAAAATAAAAAAAATCTTTTTTTTATTAAATATCCTGAGTGAATACTAACTTAAAATTTGATTATATTTTACAGAGAAAGATAAAAATTAAACACAACATTAAAAATGTACATCAAATTATTGATATAAAAGACAACATATCAAAGTAGTCAGTCAAACTGTTGGTTGGAGTTAATTGAAATAGAATGAGAAGTAAATAGAGGAAAAATCTTCCTGTTTCAAAGCTATTCCCTGTTGAACAGAAAAAGAAAAAAAACTCTTCATAAGAAACGGGACACTTAAAAAAATTTTTTTTTTTTGCAAAACACCGTAATTTCTGAAATATAAAAATTTGGGGTTTGCACTTCATCTACTTTCTTCTTTTCTTTTCTTTTGTGGATGCGGTAAATATTTTTACAGGGCCAAATTTTCACCCTGCCTCAACTTATAAGAGCTTTTGGTCAATTAATCACTAGTTAACTAAAGAACATCTATTTTAAAATAATTATATGAAATAACAACTTAAATATGTCTATAAATGATGATAAATTGAGTCTATAATCACAGCCACTATTGGAACAAACTCTCACCCTCATATTAGTCGAATTTTAATCCCAATCATTGTTTTTATTCATTATTTCAGAGTTGCCATTTGAATTTCTGTGATGAAGAGTTATCATTATTTACAGACTAATGTCTTCTTCTTTGTTGTCATTACATTTCAGTTGTGCTCTCTGGCCTTCTTCAGACATCTGTCAATCCTGTTAATTTTAAACTGAACCCTTCATTTAATCTACTAGGGTAGATTATTCTCGTTTTGCTGTCCATGTCTTGTTCATTTTAGTACTGCTCAGTTATTTCTCATCCTGTTTCTGCTAAGTCTAAGTCTGTATTACCAGATCCAAGGATTGAACTCAAAATTAATATGCCACTAAATTCACAAACCAACACTGTAATCCACTAGGCTATTGTCCTGACAAGATGAGATATCCCTAGACATGGACAGTGAAATGAGAACAATCTACTCCTATAGATTAAATAACGGGTTCATTTTGAAATTCCCTGAAGATTACTTGCATTGACAGATACCTGAAGAAAGCCAGGGGGTACAATGGCCAAAATGTAGTGTTTACAAAAACAACAAAGACAAGGACATTAGTCAAATAAAAAAAAAAAAAAAGATAAAATAACTACTGTTCAGCCCTTTGTCTTGACAGGAGCAATTTGCAAAATTCAACAGAAATGTTGATTTTAGATTTGTTTCTCTGCTGAGTGAAATTTGATTTCTGATTAATGTTAACTCCTTCCTTGCCAATTATTTTGGGAAAAACCTTTCATTTTCAAACAAATTTTTTATTTGTTTTTAATATAGACATTGACAATTGGACTCATTTTAAGCTCAGAAGGGCATAAAAATAATCAAGATCAATGTATAAACACATCTGTAGCTGGTTTTTGAATGTTATAGTTTGGACATGTTTATTCGTCAGTGACTGAAAAAAGACACTTTCGGTAAAAACGTATATACACATCCATGCTAGGGAAAGGGTTAATGAAGAGGAAGTCATCTATTATAGTCATAGATAATGTTGTCAGCTATTGTTATCAAAATCATTCTGTTCCAAACACCTTGTTTAAAATGAATTAAAAAAGAAATAAATTCAATAAATTTCACATTCATTTTTTAAAGATGTAATGTTCATAAATGATGAATTTAACAATGAATGGAAACTGTTCCAATTTTGATACTTTTGCTTAATGTTTTCAATTGGTGGTCATCCTCCCCACAAAGTTATCACAATAAACGGCTTCCTCTGTATATGGACACAAGATTAATACTATATCAGTTATTTACAAATCAAAATACCTGAGTGGAGTCCTTTTCTTTGGTGTGATAGGTGTAGAAATGAAAGGCTCAACTGGTCTTTGCCTAAAGTCATCATTAAATGATCTGTGCAGAAAAAGAAAAGAGATGCAAAACTATCAGAAAATGAACATCTGAGACATGCCTGCTTTTTAGCATATATTGTAAAAAAAAAAAAAAAAAAAAGTACAATGTTACAAAGTTGATTTTCTGAAGAATGTCGGTATGGATTGCAAAATTGGCTTCTTAACATTTTGGTAATTCATAAAAAAAATATAAAGATGAACTCATAAGGATCTGTAGATCTTTTCATTTTCAAGAACGCTATTTGAAGTTTTATTATTGATTTTGTGCCTTTCTTGATAAATGATACAAGAGCTATTATTAAAATACAAAGAGGTGCTGAAAAGAAAAATATTCTGATGTCTGCTTATTTAGTCATATTTTGGAAAATGGATTAGGTTAAGAATTTTTCAGCACCTCTTCATAAGATTGATGTTCTTTGTATATAAGAATCAAAACTTAAAGATGTACCATACCCATTGCTGGTAAAATCCTCAACTTGAGCCACTTCTTGCATCTTTTCCATTACAGCCAGCACAAATGTTGACTGTGAAATTAACTTGGATGGATTAGATTTAGTCACCATTGTAGACAGAGGCTTTGGTCGTGGTACTGCAATATCTAATCATACAACAATACATGTAAATATTCCAGACAATTTAAAAAGAAAAAAAAAAAAAGAAAAAATTAACCAGGATAATGCAAAACATTTACATATGGATGATTTTCATTTAAATAATCTGTTCTTTTAAAAGAGTTTAGAAAAAAAAGTCAAATATACTGAACTGATTCGATGAAAAACAACAGGTAAGTAAATATTGGTATAAATAACACATTACCTTTTTTAATTCTCCTTGGTAGTACTGCTGGCTCAAAAATGAGCTGCTGTTGTACTTCTGGTAAAAGTTTTGCACAGCCATTAACAATAGTATTCCGTGTTGAAGCACGTTCTCTGTCTTTTGCTGATATCATGCCCTGCACAGCAAAACAGAGTAAATAAAAGGACAAGAATAAATGAAATTACCAAAAACAAATTTGTAAACATTTGTATAAAAATCATAGATTTTAAAAGTAAATTTACAAACAAATATTGCAAACATGTTTTCTGTCATTATCTTGGATGAGTTTCAAATAGAAATGAGCTGAGATATATAAAGAGGCTGTAGTGCAAGTAAAAAGGAAAGATACGTACAAAAGCTTTGGTATTGAGTCTTTCATTAAGACGAATGGCATCGACAAATCGGGCTCGTTGAAGGTAATACATTACAAGCAGTTCTTCAGAATGAGATTCCATGCTTGTTAACAAATAATTTTCAAGCCATTTCTCTTCAAGATCTGTTAGAGGAAGCTTCAACAATTGATCCATTGTTTTAGCTGCAAATAATATAAAAGCATATAAAAATCTGCAAACAAAATAAAAGCATAGATTTTAGATTGAGATCATCTTTTAAAGAAAATAACTGGCTTTGATTTGAGAACAAATCTAAAATGTGTTAAGATTTTTATGACTTTAATTAACTTTTAAGTATTTAATTTATTTCAACTGAAAATACTAAAATCAGGATTAAATAAATTTGATATAATGGAATATGCGTACACATGTTCCCCCTCAATGGAATATGATTGGCTGGTGTCTGTCATAAATACCGACGGACGTGTAGGAGAGTCAAGAGCCTTAGTCTGAGAGCTAAGTCTATAACAATGCCCATTTGATCACATGTGATCTACACTTCTTACCTGCGACTACAATGCGTACCAGTCGATTACTGCTACCGTATTCTACTTGGTTATAGTAGCCAAAACCACTTAGCTACTTTGTTCAAATATATCCCTTTCTGAGACATATCAAAATTTTATTTTTCATCATCACCTAAAAAGCTAATGGTTTGAAGTTGAGCATAAAAAAAAATAAACTCTTGGTTTTTTTAGAACAAACAAGGTTGCTCAAGATTTAGATATCACTCTTAATAAATTCAGAAAGAAAACTTAAGATGTTATTAATGGAAATATCTGAATCCTATTTTACAAATGATCTTCAGATCAACTATTAAAAGTCCTTAGTAAACATGAGCATCTTTCACCAAAAGAATTTTCAGTTAAGCAGTAATAAAATCAAAGTTAGTTGTACTCAAAATGCATCCATTAAAAAAACATAAAGCAAGTCAAAATTTCCAAGAAAGAAAAAGTGTTTACATTATTTCCATTCAGAGTAATGTCCATCTTTGTTATCATCCTAATGTTTCAGCCATTGTGCCATCGAGTCTTTGTCAGGTTGTCTGTCAATCGAGGTAACCATCAGGGAATTTTGTAATGAATTCTTTATCTATGCAGATAGATTGTTCTTGTTCCACTGTCAATGTATAGACGTTTATTTTTTTTTTTTTCAGTACCACTCAATAATTGTTATTCCTATGTCCATCGAGTCTGAACTACCTGATCCACTGATTGAACTCACAATTACTGTAACACCAAATAAACAAACCAACACTTTAGGCTCTGTAGTTCTGCAGAACTACCCCATAAATTAAAAAAAGACCGAACAGACAACACCTGAAAAAGACCAGAGGGCACAATGGCTGAAACACTTTGATAATAATAAAGATGAGAACCATTAGTCAAAATGTAAATAATGATAATTCCTCATTCCAGAAATTCAGTCAGAAAGAAAAAGTGATTAATTAGAATTAGAAACAGATGAAAAAAAAATAATATTAAAAACTACTCCAAAAGTTGCTAACTTTGTTGACATCCCAAGAAGATATGGCTTATCAAATCTTGAGCATTGTTCTGGTCACAACAGGTACGCTGAAATTCTACTGCTTGTGCAGTCATCCTGAAAAAGAGCAGAAAAAGTGTAAAATGACACACAAATCTTTGCAAATTTTAAAAAAAAGTTTAAAATAAATTAAAAAAACAAAAAACAATAATGATAAAATATTTGCAAAATAGACAAATTTTAAATTCATCAAATTATGAAATCAGTTGACATTGCAAAATTTGATAAATTTATAAAACTTAATTTTAAAGATTGAGATTGAATTTCAATGAACTATTTAGAATTGATATTTTACTTAAGAACTGATAAACATTGCAAAATAAGTTTTTTTCAGCAAGATTTAAAAAAAAAAATGAAAGCAAGCAATCAGTGATTTACCCATTCACAAGGAAAGTGGTCAACTTTAACTTGACTTCTTCTGGGGAAGACAAAGGAGGCTGTTTGACAGCCAAATAACGCAAAGCCAATTTCCCCTCATTCTGATACAGCAGTGCTTTGATCACCTGCTTATGCTGCCAGGGCCCAAATACAGGAGAATTCACAAGGAAAGAAAAGGCTACCTAAAAAAAATGATTTAAGATAATTGATTTAGTTAAAGAGAATAAACAGATGTTACTTTTCTTCAATGGTAAATTCTAAGAAACAATCAATAATGAATCAAATGACAAATCTTACATAATTGCAAGCTAAAATGATTTCATAACTTTAAGAGAATACAGACTGGTTAGTTATGTAATGACTTCTGCAAATCATTTATAACCTCAACTTAAAATGATATTTACTTAATTATATTTTTACATAAAATGTTAAGTTTTGTCAAGGATCAGGTGTTAAAAAATTGAAACAATGAATTTAAACAAGACATGAAATTTTCTTTCAATTTGTGCATAAAATTTCTAGTTTTTCTTTTTATGAATACTAATGCCAAATAAATGGTAAATTTCAACTTTTAAATAAAAAGTTATGGCAATTTTTCCATAAACTCTTTACAAATATTGCTTTAATTTTGAAATATAAACAAGATTTTCAAAGCAAAATCTACATTGATTTCATAGCACACAAAGAGACAAATAAACTATTGTATGCAAAAGATGAGTCCTTTACATATATAAACAGATAATGAAAATACAGCAGGACTTTATGTTGGGTTATGAGAAAAAAAGATTTCATTTTCTTCTGTTAAAAATAATGCTAAAAATCTTTTTCATTATATAGGTTCTCAGAAAAAAAAATGCTGTAAAATGATGAAATACAAACTGCAAATATTTAAAAAAAAATCACCTCAAAATCTTTGTGATCTAAGAGCCAAAAGCCTGTTATCAGATTCATTGTATCTGAAGGTACAGAGAACACATCAGCAAATGTGGCTACCTTTTCAGATAACTGAAATAAAATTAAAAATAAATTATAGGAATAAAAAAAACTATATTGTGAGCAGAACAGCTGTTGAATAACTGATAAAACTGAACATGAAACACCAATTACCTTGTATATAAAATAACTATAAATGACATCAATTGAAGTAAATATTCAAGAAAATATGGTTTTATAATATGCCAAGTTAATTTAATTTTTTTGTCATGACTTTTTATTGTGCTACTATATCTTAAAATGACTCAAAAAACAAACAAACAAAAAAAAAACATTCATTAATACCAAGATAATGTATTTTTATATATAGGAATGATCAAAGCAGTATGTATGAAATCATAAATTATGAAAAACTGAAAGTATTTTCCCTTACTTTTACATTGTTGTCATCTTCAAGGGAAGCAAGATCCAAGAGAAAGTAGCTGATAACACAATGCTTGATCAGTAGTGGTACATCATCCAGCAAATAAAAATTGATCAGTGCCTAAGAGAAAAAAAATTAACAATCAATAAAATAAATTTTAAGGAACAAATAAAAAAATAAAAGGTTTCTTAAATGAAAACAAAAAATATTTCTATTAAGCTTTCCTTTCATTTTCTTGTTGCGTTTTATCATAATGTTCAGTTTGTTAGTCTATGATAGTTAATTACAAATCAAAAGAAAGCCACTAATGATATAGGAACTTGTCTTGTATTCTGAAAGTTTGTCTGACATTGCGTATAGCAATTTGGCCACAGAAACCTAAAGATTAAAAAGAACCAAATCTAAAATCATGTAGATACAACTGTCTTCATCCAATTATTCACACACTATCACTTGTTTATAAATAGTTCTAGTAATAATCTTGAAGCTGCTTAATTTCTTATATTTTCATCATTAATTTTACACTGGTTTCAGTTTAATCTTAACTACAACATTTCTTCAATAGTTTTTAACTTAAAATTCTAAATTGTACAGAACACCAAACATTCATGATAGGACTTTTAAGAGAGATCACAACAGAATCCATAAAGATATATAAACATTTAAATCACAAAATGCTACTAAATTGAGGAAATGCTTGTTAATTTGCCTTTTACAACATTTCAATCCTTGTCAGGTTATTTAACATTGAATTTTGCATGGGGCAATCAGTGAGGATTGAACTCAATATTCAGTAGTATGGTCAACCAAAGTAACTTCACTAACCATTACCCCATACTATGGCAATGTTTGTTGGGCTCTTGTGAGAAAAATAACCTTACATTAATGCTGGGTGGTGGATACTGTCCGTCTCCTCCATCTTGCTGCCATAACTCTCGGACAGCAGGAGCTGTGTTTTCTATCAAACCATCAATCATCAGCAATTCACTTGCCTTTACATCACTGAAAACAAAAAAATAATTTACATAATTTAAAAAAGGAAAAGGATTTTCTTAATGGATTTAATATTTAACTTAAATAAAGATTTAAAATTTCTCAAAGCTTTCCTTAATCAATAATGGATTTTACATTCTTTAATATGATTAACTCAACAATATCAGACTGGTGTAAAAATCATGTATAATTGGGAACTGAAATCAGGAGTCTTTAATAAAAATTTGGCAATGTTTAACCTCTATGCCTGCAAAAAAAACAGTATGAAAAGGACAGTTATTCTCTTGACACCCTTGATAATGTTTATTTAGAAGATTATAAAAATATGTGAACTGAATACAATGCAATATTTATTATATACCTTTTATAAATAACTATGAAAACAAGATTTTTATTCATAATTTTATAAAAATATAAATGAACTATAAAACAAGAAAATTTTAATAAACATAATTTTTTGGACATAATACATTTTCCTCACAGTTTATTTTATCTTATATTGCTTCTTGTTTTAATTTATCAATTTTTATAAATTTATGAATTAAAAAAAATTTTCATATTTATTTCTTTATAAAATGGTAAATAATAAATATTTTATCATAGTTGGTTTGTATATATTTATTTATATTCTTGCAGATAAACAATCTAATAAATAAACAGTGTTTAATATCTTTCTTGTCAATTTTCAAATTAAAGAAAATGTATAAATCTAAATCTACTTTCATATGTTTTGGTTTCATTAAAATTCTAATCATCGCTTTTTAAAACTATAAACCTTGTTAAGAGAGTCAAAAGTGCATACAGTAATAATGATGTTAAGGGAATAACTGTCCTTTTCACAAAACATTTTTTTGCAGGTACAAAGGTTAAACATTCTTAGCTTCAATATCAATTTGGCATTTGTACAAGTGTTTTTGATACCAGTATCAAAAACACTTGTACAAATGCCAAATTCAAATTTTGACACTTCAAATTTTAATCATACAAAATATTTCGCATACAGATGCAGATAGTTTATATGCTTAAATAAATGAAAGGGTAAATAGAAAAAGGACAAAAGAAAGTGTGTATAAAAAAAATAAAACATAATATGATATTTAGATCAAAGACTCCAAAGCAGTTTACTTTATGTACTTATTTAAACTCCATATTCCATGTTTTAACAATTATTTGATTAGCTCTAAGTATAATTGATAATACATTAGAATCAATGATTGGTTTAAATATGTATTAATATATATTTAATATATTAATAAAAATGAATGTTCCAGGAAAATATGGAAACCTGGTTCTACCTGTGCAGTTGTTGCAATTCCTCTCGTCGTTTCATGAATACTTCAATTAGACTGGTTCTTGGATATCTGTAGAGCCCAGGAATATACGAAGCAAGTTCTACAACATACAATTAAAATTCTTCATGAACAAGCTATAATTCAAACACATTTCAATTCAATTGTTATGTTATAATTCAAACACATTTTAGGTCTTATATCAAGTCTTAAAATTTATTCTTATATATATATATATATATATATATATATATATATATATGTGTGTGTGTGTGTGTGTGTGTGTGTGTCTGTGTGTGATAAAATATAGTTTTAAGAGTGGACATTGTGGTAAATTCAGAGTGGCAACAATCTATTACATGCTTAAACACAATCCCCAGGCTGTATAGCAGCTCAACTATATATGCTGGTCATTATAGATAGCAAAGTCAGTTATATTTTAAATTCTAATGACCATTAAGAAGAAATAAAGGTCACAAAGGGGTTATTTTATAGCTACTGTATAGGGTTGTTTGTTAACTCTTTATTTATTATTGATTACTTTTGGGGTAGTTTATATTTACTAATTAACTATTCATTACTGATTTTTATTATTAAACTTACTTGTGTCCAGTTTGTTAATTTGTTTATTATTTTATTCCCTTTATTATTGTGTTATTTGTTTGCTTTGTGAACGTATGTTACATTATCTGCATTGTATATGTGTATATATTTGCATTTTTCTTGATGTTTCACAAGATATTCATTTTTAGATTTTTATTTTTAATTAATGCAGTAAAAATTTGTTTTTGTGTCTGCATTTTGAGACAAATTCTGATTTTTTATTTAGCAATTCATTTTGGTCTGGGAAGGTGATTATAGATATTTTCTTCTCCAGACAAAGTTTTCAGTTTTTGGAGTTATTATTGTATGCTGGTGCTGTTTTTCTTTTTTTCCATAATATTTTTGGTGTCTCTTGTTTTTAAGTTCCTATACATGTTTAAAAAGGGTTGTGCTGTTCACATATTTACTTACTATTGTTAGAGGTTTTGTGTGTATAGTTTTCCTTTTTTCAGGGTCCTCCAGTTATTCCTATGTATATTTTTTTCTTCATTATCTACTGAACTTTTTACAGTGGCTTGGTATATTGCTTTGTAACCAGTTTCCATTTAAGGGATATTAATGTTTTTCTCTGCAGTTACAGGTGGGGTTAGTTGGTTGGTTGATGTGGGTGATTTGTAGGTAATTTTTTTTTAATGTGTCATGTTCTTAATGTGTTTTTATATATATATATATATATATATATATATATATATATATAGATAGAGAGAGAGAGAGAGTTGTTTATATATATATATATATATATATATATATAAACAACTCTAAAAATTTATTAAGAGTAGTAACTGATACTGCTAAGTGAAACAAATTTTAAATATGTTATTTGAATAAGGAAATTATTTATGGATTAAGTACTTCTAGTTGTTTGCACTTATTTTAACTTATTACTACTTAAAGGCTAAGCTGTAAATCCAGAAATTAGTGGGAAAATAATTTACAAGCTTGTTTATTCAAGTCTCTTAAAAAAATACACAAGAAAAAAAGGTAGCACTATAGATTTTCACAGAATAATTTTTATGAGAACAGAATTTCATTCATATCTGTATTATTGTAAAAAGAAAAATATAAAATTTATTTCACTTGGATAATATATAAACTTACCATCATTCTCAGGAAGCAGGCCTGATTCTACAAACCATATCACAGCTTTTAAGTGATGAGATAATAACTGAACAGCATCAAATTTTTGGGTAAGTTCCTCAATACCTAAGTTAAAAATTATAGAGAAATTTGAAAGAAATATAAAAAAAGATCTATATATATATACACACAACAATTGGAGAAAGATTCAGCTAAAATAATTCTAAAACATTAGTAATATTTCTTTTTAGCAATGTGATTATATTTTGTTATAGAGAATATTATGTTTGGGGTGTTTAGCATAGTAAACTAATTTTGGAGAGCAAAGAAGTAGGAACCTGTCAAAATGTCACAAAAAAACAGTATCAGAAAAACTAGAGATGAAAAATCTGTTTAATGATGACAACTTCAGTAATCTTATTGCTTAAGGTGATGTCTATGAATGCTAAAATCATGGAGTTCTGAAGTTACAGCTTTGTTTTGACATTCTGCAGTTTAAATAAAATAGAAAAACTAATCAAACTGATAATGAAAATTTTATATTTTATCAGTGTTTAAAAAAAACAACTTACCATTTTCAGTGATGGGGGCAGATGTGTGAATAAACTTTTGCAAAATATGAGTCAAGTAAAGAAGTTTCTGTAAGCAGTGATGAAGGATCTGCACACATCGTTCATCAACAGGAAGACCAGACCAGTCATAAAAAGGTTTACCTAAAAGACAGATACATTCATGTTTTTACTGATTATTTAAACAAATTACAACAGTAAAAGACATTTCCTTATCCATGACATAGGGTACAAACAGCTTTCAAGAAAATTTCAACAATTATAACTGATATCAGAAACAATTTTAAATTAATGCTAAAAATCTTGCTACATCAAAGCTCATGTTACAACTTGGTTGATGAGCATACTTGTCCGAAAATAAACTTCATTTATTTGCACCAAAAAACAGGCATTACATATTTTTCAGTGTCTGGGGAAATGATTTTATTTTGTTCAAGTTTTCTTAAAGCATTTTTAAATTAATAATATATTCACAAGATCTGTTTGCAAATTAAATTCACTATTTTTGTATCTCTCACGGGTAACATAAATATCTAGTCATAAGCTTAAAAAAAAAAAAAAAAACTCTTACAGGTTAGCTTTTAAATAGTGGAAACAGATAAGGTACAGAAATATTGTTCTCTATAAACATTTATTTTAAATGGATTTAAAAAAGAGCAAAATATTACAAACACTTGGTTGTTCTTGCACAATTGGTCCTAGTAATTGGCTTTTCCTGAAACAATCCACTGTATTTGGTATTTACTAAAAATAGTATCAAATATTAAATAAAAGTAACTTACATGTATTGTCCACACACTGCTTAATTTGTACCACTTTGTTCCAAGTCCAATCAAGCAAAAACTTGAGTGTACAACCTTGAGAAAGGAATTCTAAAGGAAGAAAAAACACACTGTTGTCAGGACAAACATACTGAGATGATAATCTACATATATAAAAAATATCATTCAAAATAAATAATTTTACAAACAAAAAAAAAAAAAAAGAAAAAAAAGTGTCCCAATAGTAAATTCGAGCTAAATTTTAAATTAAATACAAAACAACACAATTAAAGCTAATTCTTAATTTTTATTGTAGAAGTATAAAAACATAATAGAAACACAATCACTTATATAAATATTTCACATTAGAATCAGCAGTTAAAACAACTTTTTATGGAATTTAGCCAGATCATTAATTTTTGAAAAAAATTAATCACATATTTATATATTGCCTTTCTTCCTGTATTCTATCAAGAAGTGTTTACAAGAGAGTAAAGGAAAATTGTTCCCCACAATCAGAACATTTATATTTGTAACAAAAATATAAAGTTAATGTACGTACCACCATCAGCCCACTGCTCTACAGATTTTGTTATCACATTAACCAAGTGATGTTCTAAACACAATGTTAAGATGGCTTCTCTGTTATAATTCTAAAAAACAAAAGGATATAATTAAAAATACATATAAACAAAATTTTCATGTAAATTCTGTACTTTTTTTTTTAAAGAAAATCTTGGCTTAGTAATTTAATTTCATTATGTGTTTAATTCAAAACAAAACGAAAAATTTCAATAACAATCTATGTTAGGGAACATTAGTAAATCAATCAATTACCATTCAATACAAAATTTCTTTTAAAATAGATCAATTATTTTGATAACATTTAAATACTAATTTCTGAAATTAAAAGTAAGGCAATTACATTCAATAATTTATACAATATTTTGACAGTTAATTAATAAATATGAAAATCTAAAAAAACTTAAGCAAGAAACTTTTAATTTAAAAATGAATAAAAATTTGTTCATTAAATGTTAATCTCATTTCTGACAATCTTTTTTTTTCTGGTCATCCTTCTAAATACCAAGACTGTTAAGAATTAATGGCATTATGAGATTATATAAATATTTTATTATTCTCAAAATTGTAAGATCAATTATTCTGATTTATATTCTATTGGGTTGTCAAATAAATTTGTTTTTTTTTCTCTATTTATTTTAATCTTATTATTTATCAACAATTTTAACAAATCAGTCATTAATAGAAAATGATAAATGAAAGGAAGAATAGAGCTATAAAAAAAAACAAAAAATTATGGTTAAAACATTTTGCATATTAATTCAAATAACACTGGGAAAAAAACGAACAAATTTATCTGACAACCCAGTATTAATACATGTTCTTTAACAAGACACAACTTGGAGGCATAACTTATTAAGCAATAATAATAATAATAAAACAAATCAAGAGAACTGATTATACAAATCACAAAAAATAAACATGCATAGAGGCACACATTAAATGTGTGAAAATAAATTAAGATATAATAATAAAAAAGAATCTTACTGTCAATGAGAAGGTATGAGTAGCTGCATCATGTGATCGGGGAGCCAGACCAGCAAACAGACACATTTTGTACAACTCATTAGGATCTATCAAGCTTGAAGGCCCCAGTTTCTGGATGGTTGATAAAACCTATAAAATTAAGTTTTGTTTATAGTGAATACAATTAATTATATTTATGCATTTTCACAAGGAGTATTGTGGCAACTTTCAAACAATATCATTATTAAATTAAAAAAATGTTTACCAGAAATGTGTGTGTATTTGTGATAGGGAAATGGTGATGAAAAGTTCTCAGCCCAACAAAAAGTATTAGAAAAATCTAATCAGATGAGAATTGATCAGATTTTAAGTGGTGATGTTTTTTGTGCAATTAGGAAGAAATGTCTTATCAAAAAGTATAGATATTTTGTGTCTATTGAGCATCTCCATCTTCCTTTCCAAATTGTGAATGATCCTTTGCAAAAATGGCAGTTGTTGATGCATAAAAATTGCCAAAACTTTTATAATGGATGTGCCCAAACTTTCAACACCCATGAAGGTATGATTATCATCACGTGTTGGATGGTACTTCCTGCATTTTGAATTTGTTCTATTAAATTTAAATAGAACATTCCACTATTTACAACCATTACTGTTTTACACATAATAAACTGATTACACACAACTGCCAAAGGATCATTCGCAATTTGGAGAGGAGTACAAACTAACTCAAATGCAAAATGTCTATTCTCTCTCTATATATATATATATATGAAAGAAAAATACAGAAAAAACAAAATTCTGAATATGCATTATTAATGTTAAAATAAAAGTCGACGTCGGACGTTTTGGTCTATTTAAGACCATCTTCATGGACATTTTCATTTAAACATAATTAACATTTTAAATAACAATTTAACACAAAAGACGATGGACATAAGAACCCAACTAATCTGTTTGATTTTTATTTTGGGTTTTAATGCATATTCAGAATTTTTTTTTTCTGTATTTTTTCTTTCATACTATCAGATTTATATCCATATATTTGCTTATATATATATATATATGACATCACACATTATGTGATGGACAAAGTTCGACAATTATTTTAAGACATTTTTTTTGTTTATACGTTCTTTTTATAGATACAAATATTTAAGATATTTATTTATAGATACAAATATTTAAATATTAGTATCTATAAAAAGAATGTGTGTGTGTATATATATATATATATATATATGTGTATGTATGTATGTTATTTTAATAGATACAATTTATTTAAGTAAATGCTCCGTTTTTAATTAAACATTAATAATTACATTTACTGACCTGAATGTTCAAGAAATTTTGTAGAAAATATGCATTCTCCAACAGGAATTGAACCTGTGTTCTATACAGAACCGTCATTTGATTTGACATATTATACCACTTAGCTATAGAGAAGTGTCTGGTTGGCAAAGTCCAAATTAATGTTTTTAAACAACAAATTTTCAACAATCTTTCCTGAATGATCATATCTGCTCAAGAAACATGCCTTAACATAAACAATGACAACATATTGTCAAGCTTAATCCTTTTCATTATATATATATATATATATATATAGAGAGAGAGAATTGGGATCAAATATAGATTAAAATCCAATAGAATGATAAGATAACGAGCAACGTCTATCAATCTAACATGTTTCACTTTTATTAAGCCTTCATCAGGGAATAAGATATGGAGAGAAAGAAGAAATTCTGGTATTTTTACTTTTGTGCTGTTTGATTTTCATTGGTTAATCATGTTTCACATGCATTCAGAAATTATACTAACATTGATTTAAGGAATTGACTGCATGTGAAACATTTTTTACTCATTCTTAGTATGTGCAAAATAAATATATAAAAAAAACTTTTGCCATGACTTTGAAAAAGGAAAACATATTTATAATAAATTCCATCATTTGTGAATAGTTTCTGAAAGTTCCATTAAAATCCGACAATTATTTTTATTTTTGCAAGATTTTTCAAATTAATGTCTGTCACACAGAAAAAGAATGTGCTGAAATTTTATATGTTAAGTAGTTCTGCTGACACAAAGAGAAACAAGGTTTTTTTTTTTTAAATCAAAAGTTAGCTGTTTCTAAAAAGAAGGAAAAATTTTTTTTAAATAATTAAAAAAAATACTTTGTCCTTTCCTCTTAATAACAAACATTTAGATGATAAAATTTTGTTTTCATCAAGTTTGTTGTCTTTTAGATCATGCTATGCTCATTTTTTAGCGATTTCATGGAGGTACCTAAAAATACAGCTACCAAATATTTTGGGGGGTCAAAATCCCTATTTTGAGTCCTTTTAATCAAGTAAATCATTATCATTACTAGTATTGAACTCATTCTTTTTGTTACCACAATGTTTCAGCCAGACATTCAACAGCCTTCTTCAGATTTACAATCTGCTGTAGAATGCACCTGCAGAAACATTTAGTAACAGTAGAATGAGTACAATAATCTGAACAACTCAACTTATGGGTTTATTGTCTTCTGAAACGCATTTAATAAAATGAGAAAAGTGATTGGGGGTGGAAGGGTTAGTGATTGGATCAAAAATGTCTGATACAATAGAAGTGTAAAAAAGTAAAACAGTGAGTTCATATCTGTGATAATAAAGTTGATTTCTGATGGTCTGCTACAGCAATGAATACAATGACACATGCACAAAAGATGCTCTCAAGTAAACATAGGTAAAAAGAAAAGAAAACCAATTCTTACTTGACGCTGCATGCCCAAATACCTGGTATTCACTAAACCACTTTCCATGAGGCAAAGGACATCTACAAAGAATATAAGTTATAAAAATGACATTTATGACAAAATTGTTTTAGCAAGAACTAATTCATATATTTAACATTAAAATGCAGAGAATTTGTGTATCTATAATCAATATATTTTGTGTTTGAATTTGTGTATTAATAATAATCAATATATATTGATTTCAGATTAATCATAGACAAAACAAATAATCCTTTTGTCATTCTTCCAGAAAAAGCTCTTGCATCAATACCCATCTCTGCTTACTGTTAAGGATTCCTACAAAATGAGTAGAAAAAAACAAACTATTTTTGTTTCATCTTTGCTATTCTTCATATAGCTTTATTTAAAAGCTCAAAAGTTTCTATACTTACCAAACTGCAAAGATGAGGGATAAAAAAACTGTTCCTGTATTAAACCAGGATCACTAATGAACTTCCGTACAGTATTTGGATTTATATGAGCAAACTGAAGCAAAAAAAAGAAAAAAAGATAAATTATAATTTTTTTGACATTTTTTTTGCCTTTCTATCTTGTCATTCCCAACACATAATGTAAACTCACTGCTACTTTCTTAATCTTAGCATACTTTCATGCGTCACACAGAATCAAGGTTAAACTGTTACATTACAAGAGCTACTGATACATGACAGAACAAGGAACACAAGAAAAAAGATTTAAGTTGAAAAAAATTCCAATATACCTACTAAAATCAATGCATCTTTTTATTAACTGGTAAATATAATGTGTTTGTGCATATAAGTATAGTAAGCCAAGAAACGAAATTAAAAAAAGAAAGATTATTATTAGGCTAATGGACAAAATAGAAGAAAAAGTTATTTTTATTTTGTCTGTTGGCCTAATATATAATAAATAATACTATTATATTTACATACACTTTTTACTTTAATAAATATATATATATATATATATATATATATATATATATATATATATTATATATATATTACAAATATACAAATTCTCTGGGAATAAATTTTTCCAGTCAATATTAAAAATATTAGCAATCCAATAAGATTTCTTTAAATATGAATTTCATTTTTTAAGCAACAATACCACAAAATAAATTTATAATTTCAAGCTTTATTACCTACATTTTCTATTTTAAGTAAAATATGTCATCCAATATATTATGTATTAGTTATCCTCCATCAGGAACTTAATTGATCAATGAAGTCCTTCAATTGTTTTAGATTACATAACAGAAAAATATATTTTTTTTAATTCTGCCAGATTGCCTGCATTTACACACTTAAAAGAAGAAAATGCTTACCAAAAGTTCATCAGGAATTGTAGTGTCAATTACTTCATCTAGACTACAAAATGCCATATATGGACATATGCCAGTATTCCCAAGCATTCTACCAATGAAAAAAAAAAAAAAAGAATTAAACTTTAGGTTGTGAATCAATAACCAAAGCATGAAATGACATTGTGTTCTTAGAGTGATCACATCATTTCAAATCAGCATTTGCATTAAATTAACTGGAATTAATATCTAAGCTATAAGAAAACAAATATCTTTCACATAATTTAAATTAATTATAAAAGTGCTTGTTTATATTGTGATAAGTAAATTTTTCAAATAGTATGTCACTAAAATTAAATTCCAAATTAACGTAATAAAAAGAATAATGCTGGTAATTGAAGTTAGTTAACAGAAATTAGAAATTGGGGCAAATTATTATTCAATCATAAAATCAGAGATATGAAAAAAATATTTTCCATTAACATTTTTTACTGTGATAGATAAAGAATATCTTACCTGATATTTGAAGGCATTTGAGCATGATACCACCTATTCATGTCAAATATAGCCAAGTGATAACTAGTTGTTCCAGATTTCAATCCATTATCAGCCCTCCAAACAAACACACACAGGCTGAGGTCGGGATTGCAGCTAGCTAAAACAATGAAAGAAAAAAAAAAAAAAAAATCATTTTACATGAAAATGTTGGAAAGTGTTTTGTATTTTTTCAAGTTAATGCCAAATTTGTATATGTAACATACAATGAGGTGCTGATAAATTTTCACCTTAACCAAGAAGAGATTAAAAAAAATTCTGAGAGTTGTTTATTTGCACAGATTTTTTGAAGTGAGTCAGGCTAAAAAAATTTTCAGCAATTACTTGTTAAGTAATTTGATGTTATTCTTGCTTAAAAACCCTAATATATCACAAAATATATTGGTAAACAATATTTTTCAATGGTTTTTCACTCTTATTATTGTAATTTCTTTGGTTAATATTTGCTGTATTTTGTGCTTAAACTACACTCATCAATTCAACACAACGGATTCTTATGGATAGATTTGCATTTGGCCAATTACAAAAAGTAATTGTTTTCTGATAACAACTTAAATCTTAAAAATTATATTATAAAATTTATAATAGTTATACATACTTTCTTCTTGACTTTCGTCTATTGACCTAACAGGTAGAAAGAAATATGGATCCTCTACAGTGTAGCAGCTAATCACATTGCTAGAAGCCATTTTGGAAGAAGGAGAGTTTAATGGGTCACAGGAAAGGTCATGTTCTAGTCTTATGCCAATAGTTGACATCTCCTGAAAATATTTTAAACAAAAACTTAAAAATTGAAGGCACAAAAAAAAATTATAATTTTTTTCATTGTAACAGAATTTATATATGAATACCAATTAGCTATCATCAATGTCAAGAATAACGGCACAGAAAATAGAAATATTTCTGATAATTAAATTACTCCAACATAAAACTATTAAACAAATGAAGGACTGTAACAAAAAGTATAAAACACTTAACTTTTTAATCACACTATCTAAAACAGAAGTAAATGTTTTTAAACAATTCTCCATTATCAGTAGGTATGGACATAAGCTATTTGCTAAAAATTAACCCCCTTGAAAGCTTGAGGAACCATTATTTTTAAACAATATGCAGCAGCAGCAATAATAATAACAATAATAATAACAATAATAATAATAAAAAAAAAAATTAGTAAGTTATGATAATATTTTCACCATTGATTTTAAGCTTCTACATGAAACAATTTCTGGAATGTTAATCTGTCTAAATTTCTTAACTATTTTTTCAAACTTTCAAGAATTATTTTTCCCCAACTATACCTGAGAAAAATCAAGCAATTAAATAAAAATAATTAATTAATATTATTAATGTATGTTTTGCTTTTTTAATTCACACCTAGAATTCATGACAACTTTAGATGACAATCTTTTTCTTTTTAACTCTGGGTTAAGTATAAATAAACATCAATTTGCAAATACTTTTTATTGTTTGTGTTTCATTTTAACACACAACTAAAAGAGAGATGTTGAATAGAAATTCATCTGCAACAAAAGCCGCTAAGAAAATATCTGTGTTAAGTCTTTGAGGCTTATTTATTCATTGTGAATTACAATTAAAATCATTTTTATGTGATCTAAGGATTTATATTGTAAAATAATTAGATATGAAAAAAGTTGTGTTTTTTATAGATTGTTAGAGCAAATTGTAATTAAACAAATATATCAAAGAGGTTATATTACTGGAAGAAATTTAATACATTTACCATCTACATAAGAATATGGACAAATAACTTCTACAATCCTTAAACAATAAAATCTAACATGCTTTTGGTTAGTAAAGATCAGAAGATATAGAATTATATTAATTTAAATAAAATTTTAATTAATAGATTTCTTATAATTGTGTAGTGAGGGAGTGGGGGATCTGGAGAAAATACAAAATATCAGTGTTATAAAAACTTTTAAAATGTTCTAAAAAAATAACATTTCTTTTTGTAAAATATATACTCTTTAAAACAAATTTTCAATATAACACTATGCATTTTATAACTTGAACTGAGGAGATCTATGTCAATATCTAATTGTCAACAGCTAAAGCATATATCTGAGAAATCTACCATTGTCTTAACTGCACACAACACAGGTATACACCATACTATAAAGTTAATAGACAGATATTTTAAAGATTAATTTTTCTTTTTAATGATGTCCAAATAATCAAAAACACTATGGCAGCTAAAACAATGCCATGATTTTTCTCTTTCATCAATATTAAAAATAATAAGTCACATATAAAAGCAACAATTAAAAGAAATAAAATTTTTTTAAAGATTTTAATAGATTTACCTCATAAAAGCATTCCTTGTTTGAGTACCACATTCTTTTATTGAAGGAAAGCTGATAAAGAGTGATGTTGGCCATATAACCTTCTCTGTAAAGTAAAAAGTATTATTTGTACAGACTAAATTTCATAAACCATAAACAAAATTATATAAATACTATATAAAAATGATTTACATACTTAATTTCTCACTATACATTGTACAGAATAATTTTATAAAAGTAATGGTAATATTAACCATTTCCCTACAAGGAAACATTTAGCATTCATTGACTGGGCAGCTTGTACTACTGTCAGTTGAAATTGTTACATTCTTCCTAAAACCAGATCTTCTGATTCATGCTACACTAATTTCCACCACTGGCCATATGTGAACACATCGAACACCCAAAACTGAACAAAAATTCTGACAACTGCGCAAGGCTCGGCACATATCTGCCAATTTTACTCACACACTCAAAGAAAAATAAACAATACAATCCAGAATTTTTATTCAATAGCAATCACTAAAAAAATAAAAACTGGAGCTGATTCGAGTCTAAGAAAGGGCATAAAAGCCTGTCAAAGGGATATTTTCGATAGATGGCATTTCGGCCCAGGTTCACAGACTTCATCAGAAAGCAACCTCCCATCTCCAAGAGACAGCTTGCCAAAGGCCATCACCCCAGTAAGTCTCAACTTATCCTCACTATCCTTCCGTACACCTCAATTGGATGCCTTTTACAACTCCACTTATCTCTTTTTTTTACAATGAGACATCTACAATGATTTATCATTTGTTGTATTTTTACATTAATACAATTGTTTATTTCTTTAAATTATCATTGTTTCTTCTTTGTTCTGCCACCATACGCTTATCATACCAACTAGAGTGAGGATGAGTTGGGACGAGGAGCTGGATTTAGGAAGAATGTAACAAAATCCATAAAAATACTTTTTCAGGAAAACCGGTTTCTCAAATTTTGTAGCTCTTATCGCTCTTTCCAGTATTGATAGGAGTTATCTCCTTAAACTTTTATTTGAAGTACTAAGACTAGACTAATGACTAGCTACATGGTTAAACCTCTGGCATTTCCCTTTTGCATTCAAGGGATTTTGATGCAAAGTTATTATAACTTACTACTGGTTATAATTCCATTACTTATTTAGTGTACACATCCTAACGTACCAATCTACCTAACTTAGTGATAACACTTCTCAAAATGATAGGCAGCAGGTTTATAAATAATGCTTTTGTTTTTAGTAGAATATGCATCTGATAACACAGAAATATAGCTGTACTGTCTGAATGTTTGTAGTTATAAAAAGAACTTGATTAAATTAAACAATAACAAAATCGAGTGCAAAACAATTGTTAAAAAAGTAGCTGCATGTAAAGAAATAAAGAGTTTGAATTTCATGTTAAAATAAAAGCATTTAAATGGATACACATTTATTTTGAAATTATATCACACACACACACACACACTGTACAAGTCTTAAAGTAGCTTTAAAACCAAGAATAGGCGAAGCAGTGAAAATAACCTACTCTGAAGAATAGACAAGAGATCCTCGTGCTACCCAAAGGTAGCTGAAATTTTTGGGGTCATTTTCTGGTTCCTGGTAAGCAATGTGCGTGATGGGAACATTCCCAGAATCATCCAATCGACTGCTGTACCTAAAATAAAAGCATATATGTTAATGAAATAGTTTCAATGAAGCTGTAGTAATCTTAATTGGTTATACAATTAACAGAACTTGCTTTAATAGAACATTGATCATTGAAGTTGAAAATACAGACTGAAAAAAAATTACCTTACTGAAACTGTTTTGCTATAACAATTTTTTTTTTAAAGGAAGTATTTAAAAAATTCAAGTTTTTTCAACTATTTTAAAATGATATTGTTGGTTCCAAACAAATACAAAAACTTTAATCTTTAAATGCTCACATATAAAGAGATCATAATTTTGTCTATTATGTTTTTAAATTTTAGAAACTCACTCAAGAATTGGTGCAGAAAGGCGCCACAATTGAAAACAACCAAAATTGTATCCAACAGCCAAAAGACCATTGCGAGACATATATTTAAGGCAGGTCACACAGATCTCATCTGTAATAATTAAAAAAAGAAACAAAAAAAAAACAGGAATTTTAAGTTTTATATAAACATACAAATTATTTTAGAAAGGTGAAATACCTTAGAACGATCAAAAATCTATTAAAACCTAAATTTTAAAACAACTTGGTTATGTGATTCTCATATAGAGTTTAAGTTACTGCTAATGAAGCAATAAGAGAAATTATTCTGATCTACATATTATACTGATTGCTCCAAATTAAAAACAAACTTAATGTGACATTTCAAAGGCAAAAAAAATGAAATAAATAAATAAATTAGTATATTTGAATCAACAATTTGAACAACATTTAGAATTACTAGTTAAATTGTTTTAATTTTAAATGTGATTTATCACGAACAGTACATAAAAATTTTAATTGACTTGAATCTACAAGCTTCAAAATTTGTTCGTACAAATGTCATTAAAAACTAATAAATTAAATATTTCATACCCGTTTTAAACTGTTTCATTTCAGATTCATCATTACTGTGATAATTGAAACTGCCAAGGCTGAAAAACTCGACTGAAAATTAGAATTTGTGAGATTCAAAAGTATTAAAATTCATCATTATATCAATGTGTGTATACAATAAAAACAAAACAATATGAATATTGAGAAATGGGCATTTCGCAACAGATTAAAGATAGTATTTATCTGTTTCAGTTGAATAAAATGTTTATTATTCTAGTTATGCTTATAGTAATACAAGGATTAATACAAATTAACTTTCCTTACCCCCCAGTTCCATGCAGAGAACTTGTCTCTGCGACAAAGCTTCATGTCGTGTTTGCACAACATCTTCAGTATCCACAGAAATATAATGGAGTGTATTAGGGAACATTTCATCTGATTGATCCTGGGTATCCAAACACATATCTACAAAGAAAAATACAATTTTTGTTAAAAAAAAAAAAAAAAGAAAAAAAAAAAGCAATTTACAACAGAAAATATATATATTAATAACTAATTTCAGTTACTAGTTAAGTTCAATGCCTGACATTTTTCTGAATTTTGATTTGAAATTTTCGCTGTATAAATGTTCATCTATGTCACTAATATTCATCACTGAATTAAATGCAGACAAAGGTGATGAAAAATATTTGTGTAAAATAAATTACTTTTTTTCATCATTGGGCTACACATTTACTGTAATATAAAAAAAATATTACATATGTTACACATTGCCTAACACAAAAGGAAAGATTACATTGCTTTTTCTAAACTTTTTGGGATGTGGTTATAATACAAATGCTGTGTATATTGGTTCTTCTCTTTATCATGGAATGATTAACTCAAAATTAGAATTTAGACAATATGAAACAGCTTTTTAAAAAAAAATTCAGATTTTCAAAATTACAATAAAAAATAAACAGATGAAGTTTTGGAACTAAATTTTTTGTTTTGTTTACAATATCTTTAAAATAAAAGTCCCATTAATGTCATTTACAAGTAGAATGAATTAACACTGGGATGGCAAATTTACAAATAAGTGAATAATAGCATCCTTGATTAGTTCATTTTTCTTTTGTTTTTAAAATGCAAGTCTTTTCTCACTGCTGATCAGTTTATCTTTCTTCTAAATGCATCCATATACACATTTTAATTAACTGTGACAATCAAAATTTCAAAAGCAAAAATAAAGTGAAGTGAATACTAAGTAACTTTGATTACAACATAGAATATTTAAACTAATAATTTATAAAAAAAAAAAAAAAAAAAGTACTAAAAAGGTTTTGTTCATTATAAAATGATTATGTGATTCAAAATTAAATTTCATTAAACAGTTAACTAATAATAAAGTTCCTATGGGAATTCTGAATTATTTTTGAAAACAAATTAACCCAATCAGCTGTTAAGTGATCTCAATCATTAAATCCCTTGAGTCCTAATTGAACTGTTGAAAAATCTGAATATTTGATATTAGTGCAATTAAATTAATATATCTAGTAAAAAAAAAAAAAAAGAAAGTATTACATTTTATATGAGAGTAAATGGATTTCTCTTCTAAATGATGCCAATTTTATACTCCTTCATATTACTAGTTTTGAGATATAGTTTTGAAATTCTACAACTTTTACAAAGTTATAAATTTCTGGTGACTCTAATTGATCATGTGATGGATGTTAATGCTGTGTATTAAAATTCAGTGCTACTGATTGTGGGTGCATTTGGAAGCTACCGGCCTTAAAGCATTAAGAACAATATAAACTTAATTTCCTTGGTGGCCACAAATCTAATCATCATTAAACATTTGAGGAAGAGATTCACTACTAAGTTTACTGTTCTGAGCATGCAGATGAGATTATGGCACTGGAAAAAAAAACATTATCTTTTTGTTCTACACCCTTGTGCAAATTAATTGAAACAATGGCTTTAGTTTCCTTTCTTTATTTCACCATATGGTCAGTTTTAGACCCACTGAAGTGACAGGGAGTAACCGATTTCTATTTTTTCCTCAGATTAGGTCATTTGCAGTGGTGTACAGTAATATGAACCTATTTTCAGAGTGTATGATGAAATTTGTTTGGCTTTGAAAAATATTGCAACATCTGTGATTGCAGCAGATATTTTATCATGCCCGGCCACTATTGTTGATTGTCGATTAGTTGTCCTACAGCCATTGTCTGTGATGGACGTTACTCCAAGGAAGTGTATGAAATTGTAATGCTGCATGAACACAATGGCAAGCCTTACCACTGAGAAAATCAAAGTACTATAGATTGGCCTGGAAACTCTCCTGATTTAAATCCAATCGAGAATCTGTGGTCAATCTGCAAGGAACGACTTTGTGGAATGGACATACGAAGTACTAACATGTGCACTTGGTCATGTTTCATTGAAAAAATATGAAAAAAAAAGTAAATAATAATGGAATTATTGGTTTTGTTTCAATTAATTTGCACAAGTGTGTACTTATGAAGAAAAGATTAGACATCTTGGTATTTAATTTTTAAAATTTCTTCACTGTATATTGTATGACTAATAAGAGTATATATGCAATTATTTATGCTCAAAAATAGATTGTTGTTACAATGAAAAGAGTGTTAGGATTATAAAATATATCAAAATATTACTTACCAATCAAATACACATGCCCACCTTCAGTACCAACAGCAACAATGCCATAGAAACAGCTGAGATGTTCACTAAAAGCCCACACAGGAAAATCATTGCCTAGAAGGCTTGTGATACACTCTATGCTGGTTACCTATATAAGATCAATAATAGAGATGTCAAATCAAATATGATCATCTGTTTGGAAAATCAGAGATTACAAAAATAAGCTACTGTTTAAAACCTACAAGAGAGGCTGGAAAATTCTCAGATGGAAAAAAGAAGAGATTAAAAAAATATTTTGCTGTTTGGAAGTGGGTTGGCTTGAGTTTTTTTTTTCAGCACCCTTTCACAAAAAGTCTACGAAACAAAAGAAATGCTTATAATTGATATATATAGATTATAAAATATTAAATCAAAAGGAGAAAAAAAAAATCAAAGCTAATTCTGTTAAATTGAATGCATACATTTTTTAAGAGAAAGTCTAAAAATTTAATTTGAACTTATTTTCTTAGCTATTTTTGTGTTTATAAACAGAATAAATAAATAAAAAATATGCAAGTAAAGAAGACAGTCATGTTTTAGCTAAGATCTATAACAGCCAGAGGAAACTATCTGCCTGAATATACATACCTTGAATGGGATCTCAATAGCCTTTACTACTCTGGATAGATTAACATTTAGCACACAAACAAGTCCAGCAATGGAACTGTTCTTTAAACCAACCAGCAATCTTAAAGAATCTCCAGCCCAAAATTCAGCTACACACTGTATTACTACTTCAGAGTCATGCAGCATGATGCCAAAGTTCCATGCTGCTAATCGATTTTGTGTGTCAGTTGCAACCACTTCAAGGATTGAGCCACTGTACATCCAGCACACTTTACCATCTGAAAAGTAAAATAAAGTAAAAATTTAAAAACTCAGGAGTTATAACCTGATAAGATACTTCAAGTGAAAACTACAATGTCCATATAGAGATTTAATCAGAGAACATTCTGTGGCTATATTTTTAGAATACTTTTTTAACATTTCAAGAAATAAGAAGAGTATAAAAGTTGTATATAGTTATCTGTGATAGATAGGTTTCAAAACTCCTCCCATGTGAATGGTGAAGCCCATTTGATGACAGAAGGGATACAACTCCTCCCCACTAAGAAATATAATTGATTTAATAAACTGTAAAAATGAAATAAAAAGAATAAAAAATAAATAATTTCAGTAGTCAATGAACAAAACTTTTGAATTTTTCTACCAGGATCTGATGATTGACTTTGAAGACTAAGAACATTTAAATTTTTTTTTTTTATATTTTCAAAATATTAAACAACTAAATGTTTTTTATTTATATTTTATTTTTTTTAAATAGATTTTGTAGTTTTAGTTTAATGAATTTTGTAGACTGGGTCATGTGCAAATAAATGAAACTAGTTGGTAATTCCATGTATAATTAGGACCATTATTTTGATGAAGGAAAATACCAGGTTATACTGACATTCAATGATAATTTTCACAGAGAATGTACAAGTCATGTTAATCTGAATTTGTCTAAGTATAGACAAGTTTGAAGTTGGCATTATTTACTCAAAACTTGAAATATTAGAAAAGCACTTAAACAACATATATTTTTGTTTCATGACTCTCCAAAAGCAATGATTTTTTTTTTATTCAACCAATAAATAACCAAATCCAGCAACACAATTATACACAGTGATTAGTCAAATATATGCAAAACATCACAAGCTAGAAGAATGTATTCTAAGCTTATTTTTTATGTTTTTATTATTATGCCTTGGTCTCCCTCAGGTATATAATTAATTTCATTTGGAAGGATTTCTAAATCTGGACATCAAGGATTCCTGCAGTTTTCATTTCATGAACTAAACTTCTACATAAACACACATCCTAAGCTACTGGCTTTGATTATGCAATTGTTTCTCAGACATCTTGTATGCCTCCATCAACAGGCTCTTACGTACTATTTAGAGATCACCCTAAAGGAGCAATATGCTCCTCTTTCTTTTATCTTATCCTCCAATGTTGTTCACTATCATCTTGATTTCATTCCACAGGGATTAATGACCATCCTTTTACTCCATACATGATCAGCCATGCTCGATTTCAATATCTTCTAACTGATTACAGCTTTTTTTTAAGTTTCTCCAATTTTACCTTTTGGAGGGCTGATCATGTCCTTGTATTCCTTGCCAAAATGTATGAGATGGAAAATACTAAGTTCTTTATCATGAATTAAAGGGAATTGGGACAAATATCTCTAAAATGTTGAACTGCTTTTGAATACAGTTCTGATGTTGTATGGACGGTAGATCCTTTGAATCTTTTTCGATGCATTCTTCATAAACTTGATTGTTGTCTATGATTCTTCGGTCCCTGCTCAGAGAAGCTGATGTTATGCTTGCCATGTAGAGGTTACCTTGAACAGTGTTTCTAATGATGATCATACTGTTGGTATGTATCTGGGTTACCACTTATGAGTTTGGCTTGATCTTGTAGGTTCTTTTTTGAGATCATATAAATGGTGTGAATTGAAGTTGAAGTATTGTCTGGGAATGTTGGCCCACAATATATGATGTCTTGATATACTAATAACTTTACAAGTTATTAGTACATCCAAGATGGAAGGTCTTATTGAGTTCACAAGGTCAAAGAGTGTTGGCACATTCTGGTTGGCTTTAGTGATGTTAATTCTATAGTAATTTCCTCAAAGTATTTCTTGTAGACATTTGGCTGACTGGAGATAATAGCAATCCTATAACTAAGCCGCCTTCTCATCAGTACATGTTGGAACAACTCAATATAGATACAATAGCTAAAATATTGTGTATATTAACCAAAATGTGCATGCTGGTATGAATAGAAAGGTACATAATGTAAGGTTTTATAGACAATTTCTACCACTTTTATTTTCCAAAAAGTGGACCAACTTTTGTGACATGGTTTCATAAGATAGTTTTTAACTATCTCTGATGTCTAGTTAGTACTCTCAAGATTGTACTATTTGCAGATACTAATGTCATCTAGAACAAATAGTGACTTAGAAAAATGCAACATATATGGTTCAATTCATATTATAGAGCATCAGAGTTACTGTTTAGAATTTTTAATGTTAGAGTCAAATAGAAAAATTGGATTGAATTAAAATAAAACATGTTGGCTTTCTAAAGGATTTACTTTGTGCAGATTACCAGGATATCAAGGAAAACAAATCCAGAGAGAACTATCCTTTTGGTCAATGGAGTTTACATAACCCAACAATATCTGTGCATCTGACCAGTGAGGCCAAAGTATGGTGGTGTCATTTACAAACCTCAACTAGATTGGCAGGAACAGTTCAGTTGCCATTTTCTTAACGTGGCAATTAATGACATTTTTAAAATTTATTTTTTCATTTTGCTTGAGTATGATTTTAAATAGTGTGAATAAAAAACAATAAACATTGTTAAAAGAAAAAGGGTTTAGAAGAAAATTAACAAAAAGTATATTTAGCAACAATCCATTTTTGTGTAGTAGACAATTTTCAAAATTATTTCAGCACTTTGAATGAAGTCAGAAATCTTTAAATGATTAACAGCATTAGTTTTCTTTAACACCTAAAATTTTAAAAAATTCTTTTGCTTCCTAAGTATTTGGCATATTTGCTTGTTATCCAATAAGTCATCAATTGTGACCACATTAGTAAATTCTTCTTTCCTATCATATATGAGATTTATAATCTCAATTTGACTGGTCACTTTCACAAAGCTCTTTATCAATAATAACCTGTTTTGCCATTTTGAAGGATGAGAAAAAAATTGAAATTAACCTCTTAAACTAAATAATTTCTGGTTACTGGCTGATTGGTAAGAAAAAAATGTCTATTCACCAATAGAACTGAATTTCCATCAATTACAATAAAGGGAAAAAAATTAATCATTTGCATTGTGGTATAGTGATACAAGAAGGTGCAAAAAAGTTCTTGGTGTCAACCCACTTCTGAAAAATCACTATTCAGATGTTTGATCACTGGAAAGATGATTTTGGAAAATGGATCAAACTGAGAATTTTTCAACCCACTCACATCCATGTGATTAATGGAAATTTTGTAGTTTGCAAGTGATCCATAGAACCACAATGACAGATTCCTATTAATGGATTAAGGTCTTTTAGGAACTGGTACTTAAATCAAGTACAAGTACCTTAAAAAAAAAATTCCTGTTGACATATATTTAAGACAATATTTATTCCTAAGATTAATGGTTTGTCCTGCAATATTGTTTTTTTTAACATTTGTCTCAAATAAGTTACCATTTACACTTATCCATTTCTATTTTTGCTTTATGGCTTTGCTCAAAGTGTAAACAGAAGTCAGTGATTTCAAATCTAAAATGTATTTCCTCATAGTACAAAACTTAATTATAGCATGAAGTGATGACATGTTGAAAAAGATGGTGAAAGTCATCTTAAGTGGTCAGCTCTTTGATCAAGCCTCATCAGTAAAAATGATAGATAAATCTTAAAGATTAAACTAAAAAAAATTACCAATAGAATATTTTTTATCGTTTAATCTTTTAAATTTAATGACAATCCTCTTTGATGAGGATTGATTGAAAAGCTGACTTCATCATCACCTTTTGATAGTAATTTTCAATGTGTCTTTTTTTTTTTTTAATATCTTTAATAAATGTCAGTATCAACATTTTTTTTTGAGTTCAATGCTAACTGGGTTCAACTTAGAATAAAATTATAAACATCAAAATAGTTTATTTTGTTTTTATTTAAAAATCTCCATCAAGGTAAATATCAAATATATGCCTAATGGTAATAATCAAAAAAGAGATGTAACCTCTTTGGATAATAAATGCCTGGTTGCAACATAAATATGATGGGATACTCAATCCAACCAATGGAAATTCTGATGCTTGATCAGATTTGGAGAAGTTGGTTAGGCTGAGAACATTTTAGCATTCCTTGTATTGTTTCATTTGATAATAGTAATGGAAGAGTATACCAATCAGAAAGTACAAGTCGGATCTAATGACGGTTTCCCTCTGCTCAGAGGGATGCAGATTCAAATCCTGCTGGAGAGTGCATATTTTTCTTTATTATGATTTCTTGAATATTTAGGTTAGTAGATGAAAATAAATAAATGGAGCGTTTGCTCAAATATGAGTATCCACTAAAAATAGCATTTAAAGTGATAAAAATAATAAGATATGTAATTTATATATTATGTAATAGTATAATATTGTAAAAGCCTTCAAATAAAATATATTTTTATCACATTCAATTGCATGTGTTATGAACCCTAGCTTTTCCTTCTTTGTACTTTACTCAGGCAATAAAGGTCTTTGACTACATCAAATCAATTTTCTTTTTTCTTCCTTATTGTTTATTTATTTACTGGTTTCAGAGTAAAAGAGTAAGTTCTTTTGATACAGTTCAGGTGGGAACGTCAATAAAATATCAAAATATAAACTCATGCATCACTCGTTTCTTAATCAAATTTTGAATATATACAAGCATGCTATTCAAAGTTACCTTTAGAAAGTGAACCCTTTATGGAATGTTTGTGTGTACCACTGGACAATTGTAAGTTTGTACAAGTGGCTTGCTGAAACAGCATCACTGGGTTCACCAGGGAAGGTGCACTTCCAGGACGCATGATTGATTTCTGGAAAGAGAAATAAAACAAACAATGTCAATATTCAATAATACTGATGGCAAATTTTTCAATTTTCTATGAGAAGCTTATAAATATTTTTCTTGAAAATGTATTTTCTGAAGATATTCTTGTCAAATTATTTTTAAGTTTAAATGATTTCTAATGTTATATCAAACAAAGTCACAATTGTATTTGTAATTTAGAAATAACCTCAGAATCTACATTGATATTTTTGCACAAAATAAAATGTAAAGGATTAGAAATTTTATGAAAAGAAGTACACCAGCCATTTATTCTAGAATATTTTAATACAGACTCTACCAGTGGTTAATAACCTTTCTTTTCCATCACCTCTTTTTAGATATTTGTGTGAGCTGCACCCACTATATTAAAATTGCACTGGTGATTGGAGCAGAGTTAATACAACAGTTGATGTCATGTGTTTATATTTTGCAGCAATATAGCAGCATCAATAACTGGAAATTAAATACTGGCATCAGTGGTTATCAGGTTAAACTGTACAAAATGCTATACTCATATTGAAATTGATGCAGTAATATTACAATTGTATTGAAAAGTATATAAGCAAAAAGATGAATAAATAGAGTGACATGTTCCAGAGTCAGGGTTAAATCAGTGCTTCTCAAACATTTTTAAGTTGCCACCTCCTTGTTTATCAAAAACACAATCATAATGCCTCACCAAAAGTATAGTCAACCATTGTTGATTGGATTTTCTTGCTTCTTGTAATGCATGTCAAATGAGTATCTTAGTATTTCCTATAAAAATTGTTATATAAAAATGGGATACACTGTAAAGTCAAAGCAAGATACATTTCAGGTATAGTGTGCATGGTGTATGTTATGGTTCAGAGGTGCAACTGACAGCACACTTTTTTCTTACTGAACCCCACCACTCCTGGAACTCTCCACCAACACTCCAGGGTGGAAGCAGGACCGCCCACTTTGGGAATCATTGGGTTAAATCATCTTACTGCTCAATTCAAAGTTAATAGCACCTCCATAGGGGTGTTACTGTCCACATTAAGAATCAGTGGTTATACCTTTCCTGAAGTCTTGTATTAAAATTAATAAAATTCTGAAACATTCAAATTTTTACAGAAGAAATGGACTTTTACAAAAATTCCCAAAAAAATTTTTTAAGGGGAAAAAAAAAAAAATAAAAAAATAAAAAAATAAAAACTAGTAAATCACAATTAAACTTTGCAATAATTATTAATTAGACACTCCAGACACATTTCAAGAAGATTAATTGCAAGTCAATTATAGAACTGCATATAGCAGCGATATTTCTCAGATATCAATTTGAGATTTTTTTTAAGTTAAATAAACCCAATTTACATCAGAATTTTCAAACTATTAACTTCATTGAAGAACTATATTCCCTTGATATTTTAATACTGTAATTTTTTCTCTTACTTCATGGTCAGGTCACTTTTTAGTTACAAGGGTAGCTAAACAATAAATTTTCATTTAATGTTATGATGTGGGAAGGGGACTCTAAAAGTAAAAATTATAATGTGTTATCATTTGGGATTAGAATCAATAATATTATAGTAATATTATAATAATTTATGTAATATTATATTATTATCAATAATATGTCTGCATATTTGGACATACATTTGGATTTGAATCAATAATCCATACAATAATGCAACTAATTTAGTGAACACAAATTATATAGAATCCAATTCCAATTTTTTTTGTATTATTTCTGGATATGAAGGCACAGTATGCTATATGATTATTTCAGTAATTTAAATAATTCTTAAAATAATTTAATCACTGGGAGATTTAGCATATTTATCTATTTTTCAAGCAAGTGAGTCTTCAAAAACATACTTAAAAGCATTTAGAAAAGATAATGCAACTAATAAAAAAAATTTAAGACAAAACACTTTTTGTTTATTATTAAAACTCATGTAATCAGGAGATGCCTTTAGTTCACCATGCTACTAATCATATCATAATGACAGATTAATGTTAGTTTGCAAATATGAAGACAAGTTTGTTTTTTTTTTGTTTTTTTATATTGATCTTTATTTGTTCATATGATCAGTTATAAATTTATTTTAATAATTTTTAAATATTGTGTTGGTGAAAAAGTTTGTATTATAAAGTAAATTTTCTACTTAATAATAAACGAACAGAATTTTTGTCAAAAAAATACATTTTATTTTTATTGAACTTAATTCTAATCTAGAATTCTGATCAATAGTTAATTATATATATATATATATATATATAGAGAGAGAGAGAGAGAGGTGTGTGTTTTATAAAAATTCTAAACTAGTTTACTTTATTTTTGTTTTGCAAAACAGTTTCCCTTGCAAAAAGAAAGTGAATTTCAAAACGGTAAATGATCTTTTCCCTCTTCTTAATTTGTCAAAACATTTTTTTTTAACAATTTCGATTTTGCACATCCAATCTAATTCAAATTTACCGCCATAAAATACTAATGCAATTTTAATTTACTTATTATTAAATTATTAAATAAAGCAATTTGGAAAAGCTTTAAATTTTAAATGTTTTAAAGCTAAAAGTAACAAATAAGCTGTATACTTTGAAAATAAATTCACAATACACTTTACTCATTTGTATCAATGTACGTTCTTCGGTTTTAAATAAAACTACATTTCATCCTCAAGTTGCAATTTTAAAACTGATAAATTTATTACAAACCTCAATTATTTCTCTTGAAATGAAAAAGTTACTAATTTTCCAAGAGTTATGTGCCCTTGGTGCTAAATTTCAAGTGCTAAATTAAAAACTAGAATTTTAAGCTAAGCATCAAATTAAATGGAATGCACGGTAAAGTCCGATATTATTGCGTACTTTAATTAATTTCTATTTGAAAATATAAGAAATCAATCTTTTTTACTAAAAATATTTTTATCATCATCTTCAGAAGTTTGTTGCTGTTTAAAAGTTTAAAAAATACCAAGTTAAAACTGTAACAAATATTGAATAAACAATAACAAGTTAAAAATAAAGAAATTAATAATTTATTATAAAACTAAAAGGGGAAAAATATTTTCCATCGGGATAGCTAGTGCACATGAACTTGCAGGTGGTTATCAAAAAATAAATAAATAAATAAAAATAAGTAAATAAATTAAAATCTAAAAAAATAAAAGAACTTAAACATAAAAATCAATACTTAATTGTAAATTTTTTAAAAATCAGATGAAAAATTAAAATTAATGAAAGTTTCGTGCTTCGAAAAATAATAAGAAAGAAAAAGATCTTGGCTAGGTAGTAAAAAAATTAAAAGAAAGAAAAATCAACGCTATCATTAATTTTTAATATATTTTAACGAAACGCGATTAAAATAAATAATGGGGAATTTTTATGACGTGAAATTAATAATCATAAGTTGAAATTTTTGAAAATAAATACAAAAAAAAAATAGAAGCAGAAACAACCCAATTTGAGTTTTAGTACACATTTAAAAAAGCGGTCAAATAAAAAAAAAATATTTAGAGACCCGTAACGATCTGATCTGGGCATTCGTTAAGAGACGAGGCGAAAACAAGTTTAATAAAAAGTATATCACATAATTATAATTATCTATTGAAATGCAAATTCGACTTATTCTATAACTTTTTTTCGTATAATTACACGACGAACTAAAAACGTAAACGTTATATTTGAATGAAAAAAAAAAGACATCAGATTTTTAAAATTTACGTTGTGCGGGTTTTTTTAGTATACCTTAAAGAAATTTAAGTAAATATTTAAAACAAAAAAAAAATCGAAGTAACACCCATAAAAAAATAAATTCACGATTGAAAAGCAATAAAAATGAGATATATAAAAGAAAAAACAAATAGACAGAGTATCTTTTATATTTCGTGACTATCCCGAATCTAGAGAAGACTGGCAAGTAATACCTCACAGAGGCTGTACATATTTTGTTTCAAGTGTTAACACAAGCTCCCATTTTTTACCAAAGTAATCCCCCTATTATAAAAATAAAAGCCCTATAGAATTATTTAGTAGAGATAAATAAAAGTGGATTATTACCACTATTTGCAGAGTGCCACGGTGGTAATTTTCGTTATCCTTTCAGTTACGGTACTTTTAAGAAACCGCCATAATACACACGCACGTGGATTTGATAGATTTGCGCATGACTCTGCGCACAACGGAAGTATCCTAATTCATCATATGAATGATTCCTATTTTACAATATGGAAGTATGGATAAGCTATAAAGCAAAAACTATTTAGTTAAAAAAGTAATATTGGAAAACAAATGATTGTGTTGTAATTTACTTTAGATAACCTTTGTTATTGCTGTAAAATATAAACCACACATAATTTTAATATAAAATACACTTTAATGATATCGGTTTCATTTTTTTATTCTTCATTCAATGATCATTTTAATACACTAAAGATTCACATTATCTTCTTTTATGTGCTATGTCTCATCAGGGCATGGATGATCATGGTTCTTCACAACTTCTTATCCTTTATCACTTTAGATAATATTTGTCTCTTTACTATCTCTTCTAGTTTGGCTTCTGTCATCCATTTACACAACTTCTTTAGGTACACATTATATAAAATCTGTTAAGTCAATCATTAGTCCTGGGTATGACTATAAACTATGTCTCTAAGGTCTCTGATTGGGAGATTGGAGGTTTTGAGAAGTGTGAAACCACCTCTTAATTGCTGTTGTTCCTAGGTCCACCCTGGCACAAGGTGGTGGGATCTGTCAGGGCCCCAACTATGGGGAAATAGTGACCCCCCCCACCTCAAACAAAAACTCTATGAATGTATAAAAATACATTTTTAACCCATAGAAGTTGATGATATGCTGCTAAGCAAAATCAAACAAATGTCAATCATTTATGAATCCATACTATCTCTTTAGTATGCCTTAATATTAGATTAAGATTGTTTTTTGTAATTTGTTATGTTGTTTCCTAATGTCTTCCTATTTTAATTTCAAACATTTATCATTTTTCTTCATTATATCTTAATATTTTTTCCTTAAATTATCTTTTCTATTTTTGGTAGACTAATTTCTTATTTTGTATTGTTTCTAGCATATAATATATATCATGTTAATGTAAAAGGAAAGATTTTGTATTATATAGTGATATTTTTTATTATTTATAAGAAAATGCTTTGTATAAATTATATAAAATACTCTTGCAAAGTGATTCTGTGATGAAACATTGACTGTGCTGGCATGCTGCACTGCTGTTTGGTATACCAACTACTTGTCAGCAGACAAAAGAGCCCTACAAAGGATTATAGATGTTGCCCAGGAAATAATCGTCTGTTTTCCTTGGAGGATATTTCTAATTTCCACTGTTGTAGCAGAGCAGAAAGCATAATGAATGACAGCATGCATCCCAGCTACCATTTGTTTGAACATATAGGAAATAAATCCTATTTCCAACACAATTATATATTCACATATATACCACATTAAAACATGCCCAAACTTTATTTTCTACCCAATAACAGATAATACTGCAAACATACAGTGCTGTTCGATAAAAGTGACTCACCTGATTAATTTACTAAATGTTCTCATCTCCGATGAAATGAAAGTTGAGCTAAATTCAAAGCATAAGCGATCTAAAATCTGAAGAAGCAGTTTTGAAAGCTCTTTGAATTTAGCAGTAAGTACTGTCAAGCATCCATTCAGTATAATGTTCTGGGGATGCTTTTCTTTTCATGGAAATGGTTTCTTAAAACCTATTGAAAAGACCCTCAGGAGTGAGCAGTACAACAGAATTTTAGAGTCTTGTCTTCTCCCTTCTGCTGAAAGGGTGCAAATTGACCCCCACCAAGCTCATTTTTATGCAGGATAATGCTCCCTGTTACAAATCAAAATTGATGAAGGAATACTTTGATGAGAAGCAGGTGATTGTTATGACATGGCTGCCTCAATCTCCTGACCGTAACCCCATAGAAAACTTATGGAGTATTATAAAGTACAGGCAATTGAGAAAGCAGTTGAGCAACAAAGAGGACGTGATTGTGAATTTCATATCCAAATGGAATTCAATGTTTGGAGATGAGATTTGCCAGAACCTTATCAAGTCAATGCCAAAAAGGGTTGAAAAGGTTATTCAAAATAAAGGAGGACCCATATATTATTAAATATTTCAAACTATATTACCTATTATAAATAAATTATACCTATATTATTCTTTATTTAAAGCTGTTCGGTTATGTTTCTATTGATTACTAGTTGCAGGAAATAAGTGAGTCACTTTTTTTGCAGAGAGTTTTTTCCTAAATCTCATTTATATCCAAAATTATAATTATCAATAGAATACCTTAGGGTATCTTTTGTTGTTTCAATGTGTTTTCTGTGTCACATTTTCCATTGTCTGTTACTCCACTATCCAGAGTGTTACATTTCTGTCACTGTTTTGTTCCAAATTGAAGCTCAGACCTTGGGTTGTCTTTCTTGCTAACTATACATTCTGTCTTACAGTTCATAGTTAGCTATTTCCATCACTTTCCTTTATTATCTTGTCAAAGTGTTCTTACAGTTTTCCTTCTTAAAAGAATTTGTGGGGGGGAGAATGCCAAATCTCTTATTCTGAGTATTATGAATGTTGTAAATGAAAAACAGAAGATTCTTGCTCTGATGTGAAATTTTAAAGAAATTTACATTTATTTAATGACATGGAAAATAATAATAGCACAAAATACAAAATTTACAAAACAAGCTTGCACAAAATTTTCCTTTGTGCACCAAACAATTAGGCAAGCTAACAAGTTCTAATTACAATTATGATTATCAACAAAATGTTCACTTAGTTCAATTCATTTGACTGTCCAAGGGATTTGAAAAAGTTTGCAATTCTAAGGCATCACTTGGTTTTCTGGTTTGTTTAGACAATAGTTCAGTTTTATTAACTGAGATTCAAAAATTACATAACTCTCATGTTTTAATAAAAAGTTTAGATCAGGATTAATCCCGTTAATTTTGTGACAAAACTTTCACAAACAACTATTGGAAGGTAATCGTATATTTCTAAATTTGCAGAATTTTCTCCTTTTTGATTTCTTTTTCTTTCAGCTTTTTCCTTTTTATTGTTGTCATCAGTGACTTTCAGTTTTTCCTTTGTTTAGATTTCTGAAATTGCCTATAGTCATTTACCAGTGAAAGCCAAAACCCTTTTGCTTTCTCCTTTCTTTTTCTTCTTCATCCAAGTTCAGCTGTCAGCAACTACCAGTGATTTTTGCCTGTAAAAGCCAATCCCTTCTGCCTGTCAAACAAGCCAGATTTCTTAAATAGCCACATATCAGCTCCGATTTGAATCAGAAATTTGATATTTTGTGATCATAACTTACTTTCCCCATTGGTTAAAAAATTACAAAATGTATCCCTTTATACCTTGCCTGTTCACAAACCTTATTTAGGTGAGTTTTGAGGCCATAAAACTTGAGCCTTTATTTTTACATATTTTGGAAAACCAAATTTGATACATGTATCTTTTTTATAAACTGTCAGGCTTTTGGGGGTCATATTTTTGCCATATCAAATTGATCCTCACATAGATACAAAGTTTTACATATCAAATTTTATTCAAGCTATTTTTTATTAATTTTCTGGCTTCATTATGGCAGTTTTTTTTATTAAAAAATGTCAGAAACTTTCTTCTTTTAGTAAATGATTTTTAAACACCCCCTCAAAAGAAAGTGTATTAAACAAACCTAGTCTATTGTATTATTTTTTATTTACCCTTTAATTATTTTAATATTATCAACACAGTATTATTTACATATCATGTTAAGATCATGTCTGCCAATAATAAATCCTGGTAAGTCTTCTGGTTTTCTTAGAGTTGCTCTGCTGTATAGGTTAAATAAATCATGGGAAAAAACAAATCCTAATTTTATGTCTCTTTCTGCTTATGTATACTTGCTCAACTTGTTTTCTATCTGTGTGCAGGTGTTTTGTTTTTAATAAATGTTACAGATTATTTGATGATCTTGCATACATGTTACTTATTATAAAATGCAGATTGTGTGTGTGTGTGTATGTGTGTGTCTGCACGTTTATATATTGGATCGGATTTCCTACATTTTTCAACGGATTTCAACAAAACTTCACAGGACTACGTAAAATTACCTTGCGGTGGTTCTGACAGCACCAAAAATTGGAAAAACACAATTGTTTTTGCATGAAATCAATTTGAAAACACGATTAAGAGGCATTAGTAAAAGGGGGACAACTCATATCGAGTTATACTTATTAATATCGAGTTATTGAGTTATACTTATTATAAAACCCAGGTTGGTTGTGTGTGTGTGTGTGTGTGTGTGTGTGTGTTCATTTATATATGGGATCGGATTTCCTACATTTTTCAACCGATTTAAAAAAACTTCACTTTTTTTGGCAGGTAGTGTTTCTTATTGTCTTGCACACTTTTTTCTTTATTTTTACATTCAGAATGACCTAAAAATTCCATTTACAAGACAATTGTTTATAATAAAATTCTATTCAATCGGTAGACTCATAATGATTGAAAACAATGTTTTTGTTTGAGTTTGGGCTTGACCAATTCGTAAAAAAACCCAAAAAAAACAAAAAATAAAACTAATTAAAACATGCGTGTCCATCAACCTTAAACAATAATCTTTGTCAATTTTATTTTTCAGTCTTTATGATGGTTGATACTTGATCTATCTCTTACTGTTACATCCCCGGGCAACGCCGGGTTCTACTGCTAGTATAAATTAAACTTTCCTAGTTTTTCAAGTATTGTTATCATACTGTATCAAATGATTTTGTATAATCTATGTAATATCAGCATAGGTATTTCTGCATTTTATTGCTCACTCTGATAGTATTGTTCCAGTATCTTGAACAAAGCTATATTGCTTTTGCTCTAATTCTGGTCAAATTCTGTTATGAGCCTTATTCATTTGAATCCTAATATTAAGCTTGGTTATGTGGCTCATAAGACATGTGAGAAGTAAAATGAAAATCAGGACAGAAGTAAAAGTACTAAGCTTTATTCAGATAAATGAAACTCAGCTACAAAATAAAAGGGAGGTAAGTCACAGATTATATAGCCAACATGGGAAAGTCTATTGTTTATACAATATGAGTGTAGGACACCACAGGGCACATTATCTGATAGAGTTTGC